TTTTTTTTTTTTGATCAAAATAATTACTTCGTAAGAGATCATTCCGATCAAAATAATTGTTCTGTAATGGCAGACGTAAAACTGAAACAGTGAAGCATTAAAATGAATTTTAAAATAGCTTTAGACAATATTAATTTGTATGGAAGGAAAGAGAGAAAGGAAAAAAGCGATGTTCGTAAAGGAAGCTTTGAAATGAGAAAATTGCTAAGCATATATATATCAATTCAGTCAATTGTCGTCCATCTTTCTGATCGTCCAGCATTCCCGTCCACTAATCTCTTAGCCTATTTATCATAAAATAACATTCCGTTAGACTTACTATCACTGACATTGATTGATGATATCATGAATGAATTTCTTGAATTTATAATTCATTTTAGCTAGTTTTTTTTTTGTTTAACCGGTTACATATATCACATGGCAGTGATGGAATAAAAGTAAAATTATTCCTAATTTCTGAATTCTTATTAAGAACGGACCTAATTTCAAAAGGTTATTGAAATTTTAATCTAATGAAAGATGAAAAGCACAATGTACATCTCGATCTACAAACAGATTCCCTGCTAGTGTAGGCTTTATATCATATTTCTATCACAAAACAATTATTGAAATGATTTCCACTTGTTGTATTTCTCTTTTTCACTTTCAAATTTAAGCTTTAATTTAAAACTTACTCCATCATTTTTTTTTTATTACTATACTTTATGCAGCACAAAATTTCTTTCAGCACAGTAAAATTTATTAGGTAACAAATCCTTCAGAAAATAACAAAATAGCTTTGTAATTGCACACTTTTTCAATAGGAAAAATTTGCATAATTAGAACTTAGGATAACGTTGAGATGAGGAGAAAAAGGGAGTGGAGAAATAGCATGGAGAATTCCAAAATTAATTTTAATCAAAAATTCGATCACAGACTTTTTAAAATACAATTCTGCTTCTCTCATTACTCCCTTTTTTTCTTTCCTGCATCGGCTGAGAAAATGCTGAAATCAACCTTGACTAGTTTATGATTCTACTAAAAAATCTGTTTAAAATTTACAAATTTTTTAAGAAAAAAAGAAGAATGGAAGCACCATATAATGCACAACAAATACAAAATATATGACAAAACGCACCGCTAATTAAAACCAGAAAAAAAATGAGAATATTTAGCAGTATCACCAAATTCTAGAACATGCTCTGGCTTGTAATTTTTCCAGTTTTAATTCTTTGTGGAACACAAATCGCTCACTGCCCCTAAGAATATCAACTAGAGATTTCTTCACTTTTCCTGTAACCACAAAAAAAAGAAAATGGTGAATAATACCAAATAAGAGATGGATGGTAATATTAAAAAAATTTCAAGTACATACTACACAAAGTATACTAATGCTTAGAAATTATAGCGGAAAATGATTACATGATATAAATAAGTAAAATGCAGATTTTCAAAATGATATTTAAAAAGATTTCATTTTAGAGATAGAAGAAACAGATCTAATCTCAATAATGAACTATATTTCCCGAAGAAATGCTAGGAATATAATAGAAAACAAGCAATTAAACGCTGCTGACTGCATCAGTTCCTAAAAACTTTATGGCAAAAGTTCTTAACTGAGAAGAGAAGTTATTATTGGTATTAATAAAGACTTAGTGAATTATAATAAGAATAACACTGAGCGCTAATCCTTTTCCGAGCAAAAAAAAACATCACATTGTGTACTAAGAAAAGAATAAATTTTTTTTCAGTATCAATTTTGACTAGAATTATATAGGAATCCAAGTTATGATTGAGCCATTTTTTCTAATATTGGTATTATTTGATCGAAATTCGGTCGCCGACCAGGATCTTCATTTAAACAAATGTTCATCAAACGTCCCATATTTCGTGATATTCCGGGTGGAAATGGGACACGTAGTCCTTCTAGTGCAACCTGGAAAAAAATTTCCAATTCAGGAGATTTAAAATTTAAACAATTTAATCCTTTCCTAAACTTGGCTTTTCTTTAAAAAATGAAACAAAGAAACAATCAAAAAAAAAGTCGTATAACAAAAATCCATCTTTTGTTAGGCGGCAAAACAAAATCGCAAAGAGGGAACAATAATTAAAGTGATTAGAAAGAATAAATATTTCTTCTAAGCTATCACTTATTCTGACGACTATTTTTTTCTAGGAAATGGCTTGATTAAATGCACTTTCAAGACATAAATGCGCCGTCAAATAATTTTTTAAATCTTCTATTGCAACCGCAATCGAAAATCAATGAAATATGTCTTAACACACTAATTCATGACAATTTCATTTCAAACTCTTAAATTTGCAATAAAAACTGAATTCCAAATTTGATTTTGATCTTAAAAATTGTAATTACCATATAGTGAAGAACTAAACAACAAATCCTTTTCTCTCTTTTTTCTGAATTCTCTTCTTTCCAACGTCACATTTCAAGACACCTATTTATTATAGTATCATACTGATAAGAACCTTTATTCCAATTTCCATTGGAGAAAGATCTGAAAATGGTACTTCTCGGGTATTCATTTCCCATAATAAAACACCAAAACTCCACATATCAGCTGCTCTAATGTTTAGATCTGATGGTGAGTACTTTAACGCTGCAAAAAAAGGACAAATTATGAACTAACTTTAATATATGAAACAATTCTGGTAATGACTTGAATTAAACAAATCTTTTACAGTTATGACTTCTCTGATACATGCTTTATCAATCATTGATTACGAAGAAATCCTAGTTTTCACTATAGATCAAATATACATTAAAAGAACAAATAAAGGAATAACTGTTAAATTTAATAAAGAAAAATGAAAATCTCACTTTCCGGTGACATCCACGCTGGAGAATATAACCTGCCTACTTCTTGAAAGCTGAATTTCGTATCGGCCATTGAAATTTTTGTTGTGAGATCTTCGTCAACTACGACATGTTTCGAACTCAGGTAATACCTCAAAATCAGTGGATCCAACGAATGAAGAAATGACATACCACGCGCTATATCCAAAGCAAACTTTATCGCTTGTGCTTGGTCGATTACAACTGCTAAACATTGGAAAAAAATTAGAATTTAAAATTTTCTTAAAATACATTTATTTAGCAATAAGCATTTTAAACTGCGCACAATGGAAAAAGACCAGTCCAAAAGGAATAAAATATTTAAACAAAAAATTATGATCACAATTTCGTGAGTTTTTTTTTTCAAATATTTCAGTAACATAGAAAAACCAATGAATATTAATAAATTTTTTTCACTTCGCAGCAGAAAAAATTATACCTGTCTGTTCGTGTAATACATTATAAAGTGAACCAAACGGCATCAGCTGACTGATAACAATAAGATTTGGTGGCTGATTGCAGCAGGCCAAAACAGGGCATATATTCGAATGGGCAAATATTCTGAAAAAAAAAAACTGGAAATAAATTTAGACATACCAAGGCAACAAGTATAGTAAAAGAAGATTGCGATTTAAAGCACTGATTTCATTCTGATTTCAGTACACTGTCTTTCGAATTTGCACTCAAACCGACAAGTACAGCGCCAAGGACAGAAAGAAATTCATTAACTAAAAAAGACGGAAAATAAGAAATAAATGTACTGCGAAAAGAATGCATGCCTTAAAGAAGGGAATTCAGCTTGAAAATCACGACTTATACGTGGAGTTACTTCAGGTAGTGCTAAAATTCGAGCCACGATATCGTTCCCTTGCCACTTGCCACGCCATAATTCACCACTGTGAGATTCGGCTATTTTCATCGACAAACTTAGAGATGCCATATCAACACCTGTGTACCTGTAAATAGTCTATTATGCACATTAGCAAGAAAACACCGATAAACTTCATTTAATCTATTAAATTCTGAATTTCTCTTCTAATATTAGATACTTGAAATTCTTTATACACTTTTAGCATGAATGGTTGAAAGTAAAAAGTGAAATTTAAGTAAGAACCTTGAAAGCGTAGCATCTCTAGTGCGGGTTTTTGTTCCTTTCCAGGTGTGATCTTTGAATGGTATCCTTTCATTAATATTTTGTCCATGTTCTCGGGCAATTTCTAAATACGACAGTTAAATGTGATTAAAATATTTAAGATTTCTAGAATTAAAATGGAATTGTTGAAATTTAAAACTGTAGCCATTCAAAAAATTAGCAATGAAATTATTAGCTGACGAACCTGCAACTGCGTTACGAGCTTGCGGCTGGCAGACATCAAGTGGTGTTTGCCCTTTCTTATTGCAAGCTCCTATTACAGCACCACTTCGGATAAGATCCTGGAAAATATACAACAGAACTAGTTATCAAAATTATACTCATAGAAAAGCAAGCAAATGAAGTACTACCTCCCTCCCGATAACATCATTTATTCAAATTGGTGAATTTCAGAAATGTCTTCGATAAAATTACTGAAAATTTTTCAAATTTTTGCAGAGTTCACTATCTTACCTCACAGATTTGCACATAACCCCAAAAGCATGCGTAATGTAGAGGTGTCATTCCGTGTTCATTTGCTACATTCACATCTGCTTTTCGATTAAGTAATTTCTGGAAGTAAAAGTTTCGAGACATTAAGAAAAAAGAGGGTGAAACTAGAGAACACACAACCCACATCCTGATAATTTGTGTAATAGCTTGTGTAAAGAACATAAAGCTCATCTAACAAAACAAACAAAAACAGCTCAAACTCTCAAACTACATTGAAGAAATGCAGAACTTTACTTTTTAAAGCAAATTTTTAAAGAAATCCAGAACCTTACTTTTTAAGGCAATATGAACCTACCACCACAATTTCACGATTTCCATGGGCTGCAGCTAGGTGTAAGCTTGTATCATCGCCCATATTTGTTGCGTTTACACGTGCCCCTCGTGAAAGTAACAACTCAGCAATTGCAACATGTCCTTCTTTGGATGCCCAATGAAGCAATGAAAATGCGTGATCGTCGCTAAAAAGAAGAAATTGAGAAGCACTAAAAAGCAGAGCTGAAAATTTGATATAATTTTAATACATAAAATTTGAATTATTCAAAAGTCATGTTGGGAATATTACTACATGATTTTGAATTTTGCTAAAGTGCACTTGCCTAGCTTACTTAAATTGACTATTTCAAAAGCAACTTCCACAAATTAGTAATCGAAAGTAAGATAAAGAAACATGACACTTGCATTTGGATCTAATTTATCATAACGCGATTAAGCTGTAACTTACCCAATATTGAGATCGTGTTCACTATCATCAAGCCAAACGCGTACTTGAAACGTATTACCTTCGCGTACCCAACCAAATACATCTTCCATTATAATGGGCACATTTGGCTTATGTGAATGGTAATTACTTGCAAGAGACATGTTCAATAAAGTAATAATTCCAAATAACCCACTGCAGTTAATAAATACCGTCAACAATGGTTCTTCACTCACATGTACACGCGATAGATTTGATGTGAACCACTATGAGCCGTGCGGAAAGCACGGCAAACTCCTTCGCACAGCCAAAACCTAAAAACTTTGACTAAAAACTAATTAAATTTAAACTATAGTCAGAAATGATTCGATAGGGTCGTATCGTAAAATCAATGAAAGATATACGAAAATGCGCCCTCACTCATCACAATTTTTCTACACAGCTCTATCAATTTATAGATAGTAAAACAACCAGTCCAAATCTCATATGGCTTTGGGATCTTTTGATCTCGGATAAATTTCTAGAAATTTAATAATAGAAAAAGTTCAAGTAACAATTCCAAGACGCTCAATCTGAAAATGACATATTTTGTAAAGTTAGAAAAACCTTATATATAAAAGAACTTTGAGAAACAGATCCTAATATATTTGTTCAGCTACCAACAAATTACATAGTTATCTAAAAATTTAAAATCTATGGATACAGAAGCTTTCTTCGGAATGAATAAAACTTTGGAATCAATCTGAAGCTCAACTAATGGTGAACTTGTCATCTTCTATCAATGAATTGATAATTTTGTCAATCAAAAGTTTTCCTGTAATTCATGATAAAAAGTCGGACAATGCATTGCATAAAAAAGATGTAAATACTGCATACCACTTACTACACTTACATGGAATAAGAAATAGTATGTTAAATTGAACTGATTAATTGGTCTTGCTTACTTTAACTTCTTTCATATATTGCAACTTTCTGACCCCTGAAAGATCTGAAATCTTCCGGCTCAGAGTTCAATTTGTGATAACTATTTCAAATGCTTTTCCAATCCAGATATGCATGCATAAAAGACACACTGCCGGAATTCCGGTTCTGAGACTGTAATAAATAAATATGTAGCAAAGAAAAGATGGGAAAAGTGAGAAAGGAATGGAATGAAATAATGCAAAAATAAACAACAAAAAAAGTAAAACCAACAAATATCGTATAACTAATTTAAAATTCAAAATAAAAAAGGAAAAATTCAATGAGTAATCGAAAACCTATTTGCGCAAAAAAATTAGCATTCATACTGTACGATAAAAAATTATGAAACACTGGCGGGTGGAATGTCATTATATTTTAATTGAAATGTCCATAATGACAATCAAAAAATGCTAGCAGAGAATTGGAAGAGGAAAATGGTGTATAGTCGAAAGTAACGACATTTCGAAAGTGAAGAGATGTTGAACAGGGAAAGAAGCAATTTAATAATGGAGCAACAAGTGAAAAGAAAAGTTCAAAAGTCCCATGCACATAGAAATTCGTAAAGCGCTGCTAAAAATATTTCACTACATTTTGCATTAAAACAAAACTATTTCAAAGATATAGATGAGACTGAAAGGTCACAAATGGTGAAGGATGGAGAGTGGGAGAGAGAGAGAGAGAGAGGATGAAAGAGAAAGAAAATAACGAGTGTTAATAGAATGTTGTAAAGTTTCATGTAAACGATTGAAAATGATAATTTGTACAATGTGAGTTGTAATTGTAAATGGGATGGATACACATACACACACATACATACGTATATATACACACACACATATATACATATACACATACATACCTTTGTAGATGCTTTTCCTTGCTGCTTGGAAGATTTCATTGAAGAGGACGAGAGCACCAGCTGTTAATCGTTTAGACAGATGATGGCAACTGCCACCACAATCGTCGTCAAGTTATATTCTGTCCGGATGCCCTACTCCTACTGCTATTGATGTTACACATCGGAGAGAGAGAGATATTGGAAGAGTGAAAAGGGTTCCGTCTATTTCGGTAGCCGTGAGAGGGAAGGGTTAGTTAAATAAATTGGATAAATGTATCGAAGCGAAAGAGTGGTCCGTAGCATTACCCATGCTTTTATACCACAAAAACTTCTTTTACGATTCTCTCTCTCCCTCTCTCCCCCCAGATACACTAATCGTAATTACTGCATTCCAATGATCAACCTGAAATTTTATTTACTGAAATCGAAATAAGAAAGGGTAATATACCTTTTATACTGATATATTTATTTTAACATTCATACACACATACACACACATGCACATATACGCATAAACTACGAAAGTTAATAATGTAGATGGAAGAAAGAGAGAGAGAGAGAGAGAGAGAGAGAGAGAGAGAGAGAGAGAGAGAGAGGGAGGGGAAGAAAGAGAGACAAGTGATAAGGAGAGAATTGGTCACGTTCAATAATTTTAATAAATCAGCTTTACGCGTATAAATCGTAATTTATATGCCGATTTACATGCTTTACACATATAAATCGGCATATAAAATCGTAATGTTAAATCATCGGTAATTTCTGCAAATAATATATCTCGGGGTTGGATATAAATTTTTGAAGATGAAAGTCAATGACTGAGCAATTGACCTTACAAGTTCACTTTACATGCATGTATATATGTATCGGTATCAACTTACGTCTGTATCGTAACATAGGTAGAATGAAACTGTCGCGAAAGTCGGGAAAGCTGATAATTGCATCGAGACAATCAAAATCAAAATGTTTATTAGCTGGGAATTGCCACTATAAGCGATTAATAAAGTCTTAGCGAATATCGTCGATCGATAACTGCAAGAAAGCTAAATGAACTTTGTTGTAGGGTAAGCGAAATGTAATACCAATTTGAAACCGCACCACAATCGTTGCTTTTCGAGAAGAGCACCCTTCGATACCATCCCAAAAGTCTGTCCTCTCCAACATGGACATATATATATATAATGTATATCAGGCGGCATCGAGACCGTCCTTTGACATACAAAGTCGACAGATATCCCGGATAGAACGAATAGATCAATACATGATAGATATACAATCGATAATGTCGGGATTTGACAATAATATAGCATAAAGCCAAAAAAGACTAAACAAAGAAGATGGAGGAGCATTCATTTGTACAGTATGCTTTGTTACGTATGTGTGTGTGTGTGAGAGAGAGAGAGAGAGAGAGATCATAAACGTGGGAATATTGGAGACGTCGCTAAATGGCATGCTACTATAAGGCAAAACAATGTTATATAACAGAAATTAAATACGACTACAAGATTGCACTGACAAATTTCCTCTTATCTAAATGTCAATTACACAAATTTCTATTTATCAACGAAAATTTATATCACTAACCTTTGAATTTCTCGACAGAAACTGTGAAATTGAATTACTTGGAGTTCATGCATGTGCCATAACTACTGTAATCTCATAACTATATGCTATCATTCTATGATAACTTTGCGCAAATTTCTCCCTTCTCCTTCTCAATCATTTTTTCAATTTCATAAATTTACTGCAACTTTGTTGTTATTAATGAACACTCAATATTGCTTTAAATCTGTATTTGCAGGCGCTAAAATTCTCCCTCGCACAGTATAAATTCGGGAAATCTTGATAGATAAATAAATATATTAGCATCTGAAATTTTTTCTCCTCGACATTAAGCACTACACGGAGTATTGACCAGATTTCACGTCAAAATGAAGGAGGAAGTCAACTTCAACTGGTTGCTGTTGTGATTATATTCCTTCTTTCCGAATCACTTTTAGTAATCTTTTCATTTTCTTTTTTTGTTCGAGAAAGTAAATGGCTGGATGGAACGAAGCATTCTTAAGAATTCGACATTTTACTGCAGTTATGACATCATCTGAGAAGACATTTATCTATTGGAGAGGTTAATTAGATTTAAAACTTAATTGTATATTCAGGAATATACCGCTGTGAATTATAGCAACAACGGCAACTATTCACTTTATTCACAGAATAGGAGAAATCTGTTTATCACTATTATTTATTAATTCTCGAAGAAAAAGGAGTTGACTGGTAGCAATAACTTGAGACTGGTAGCAAATAACTTACTGCGGAAGTTTGAACTTTGAAATCACACTGAATATATCCGTTACTAATTGAATGGTTGATACTGACGGTTTGCAGCAACACATTTGCATACATTTTTAAATTTATTTCACTTTCATTACAATATACCATCACATAATTGATCAAATGATTGTATACAATCTTTCTGATAAATCTCACAGCGCCAGCAGTTCCATGCCAATAGACGATTCAACCATAAAATAGTTGAGACACGATATCACACTGCTCCAAAAATTAAGCATATTTAGCGGATTAGAAATCCAGAATTTCAGAAAGACAATCCGAATGGACAGGATATTCCATTAAAGAATCAGTTGGTGATCAATATTTTCTACATTTATCTCACTAATTAGGTACTAAAAAAGTGTACTAACATTGGCTAGTGCTCCATTGGCCACGAAATAATAACCTTTACTCATAGCATAAAAAACTCTTTTTGGTTCAACACTTCAATAAATAAAATATAGGAAGAGAAAAAAAAAAACTTGATCTTTGCAATTCAACATGAAATTGGAACTAAAAATTAATAGTGAAATTAGTAAACAAACTGGAAAGCTTACAAAAAAAGCATTTCCACCAAAATTAAAAGCACAGAATGTGTAAGTTCTCCAAAGTATTGAACTTTTTTGACTCATTTAGTGAGCAAATTGTATCTATCAAAATGGAATAAAGCCAAGGAACTTTAGTCAGAATAAGGATGAAGAAACAAAAATTATGTGCAAGTACAACTTTTGGATCAGAATTATTGGAATGCTGAAGTGAGAATGAAAATAAACTTAGATCAGGCTTCAGTTCATCTACAATCATTTGTACCAATTGATAATTTCACATCGAAACTACCGAGAAATACGGGAAATCCACAAGACGCACCGAAGTGCCCGGCTAATTCGCACAATCATTCAATTATCTTGGCTATTTGTCACTCAACCTACAGATTAGATCCCTAATTGAGCGGCTGTCTAGAAGTGGGTGAATTGGTGGGATTGTACTTAGGGATAGTAGATTGACTAAGATTGAGATTAACATGAAAAGCGAAGGAAAATAGTAGGAGTTAAAGAAGTTAACAGAGAAAAAGGAACACTATTTGATATTTTGACAATGAGAAGAAATGTGATATAACGTTCAAAATAAGGAGACGGCAGTGATTGCTAAGATTATGTGTGTTGTAATAGAAGAGACAATGGAGACTGCTGTTTGGTAGAAAGTTAAGAATATTAGTGGGAATGATGGAGTAATAAATATGTTTTACAATTCCAGAAAGATTAATGAAGGAATTATTGTTCGAATTCACTGATAAATTGTAAGATTTAACCGATCAAATAAATGAACTAATAGCATTGAAGCATTGCTTTAATATCCATATAAATTATTGATATTTGGAGCGGAATAATAGCAGTTTATAGGCTAGCTAATCTACCGGAACAGGAAACAGGTGCGAATGTACGGTTCATCACCAGGTCATAGCGAAGATGTCTTGATATCTGCTGATGGTCTTACTCCGATGGTTTAAATTTTACACCAATTTAAAACTTCATTATTGCATTGCACAAAGTTTTCACAAGACTTGTATATTTCACGATGGTTTAATAGTTTTAGTTATTTAATTTTATTAGTGATATAGTTTAGTTTGAGACATCATTTTATCTTTTTGACAAAATAATATTAAAGGTATTAAAAGGAAAGAAGTTAAATGTCACCCATCATCGCATTTTCAGAATAATGAAGCTCGTATACCGGAAGGCGGGTTCGCATTGCTGTCAACAACACCACAAAATGCAGCACTTGCACATTTCATTTCGGCGCTTACATTCGATCCATACCAGGAACTTGTTTGGACTGGAAATAATATGGTGATTTGCTTAAATAATAAAATTTATTCACGGAATAAATATTCTCAGCTCATTGCGGAAGGGAAAAAATAGTTGTGAGTTAAAATTAGATTTATCCTATTGCCATTTTTAAGTATTTTCAAGATAATCGTTTTGTATTGCCCTCAAAATGGCTATGTGAAGTAACTGTTGAGACTCAGCATTCCTGCCGACTGTTTTGTTGAACATTTTCAAGGCAAAAAAATCCCTCTATTCCTCCATCATTGAAAGAATTGGAGAGATAGAGGGATAATTTTGACATTTAATCATGCTGAAGAACTATGAAAGCAAAACATTATTTGCTCTCGACTTTCTGCCTTTAATTTGGAGAATAATATTGGAGCATGAATCTTAGACTTATAACTGTAGTGCTGGTCAAAATATTATTTGCATAACTGTATTTATTTCTTTTATAAGATCCAAAGCAGCAATATGTAACATTGTGAATTTGTACAAACAAAATTGAGACAGATGAATTTGCACATTTTTCTAGTATTTTATGCAGTTCCACAACTTCTAGGGACGTGTGGTGTCGTTTTATGGTGCACAGCTTGACAAGTATACGGCATTTCTATCAACAGCTAATTCAGGCATTCGCGCATTGCTTGCTTCAGAAACTGTTATTTTCTCACTAACATCTAAGCGTTTAAAAGCTAATCGCAGACAAGGCATTTCGTTATTTACACATACGTAAGCTTATAGTATTCCGATTATTCATTAAAGAAATTTTTTTAGTAACGGAAATTTATTAATGGTATTTGCGAGACACTGTATGTATAGTTGATTTATGCTATGTCTGAATTTTTTTAAAGTTAGCCATCACCTTTCGAATAATAATTCTCTATTAGTGGAAAAAACAAGACAAAATATAAATTAGATGTGATATGTAGGAAATGCAGATTTACAATATTATTTTAGATCCGACCACATGACTGATCTTACCTGCATGCATCGACTTTCGGATGTACCGCATAAATTATTGCTAGGTGGAAATCAGCAACAAATCATACAGTTTGATATGGAAACACAAAAAGAAATACGAATTGTCTGGTTTTTTTCCATCAGTATTAAATTCTATTATGGAAATTGGATTTGGTTAAGTAGTCTAATTGCCAGAAGTCTAGTCAATGAAATATAAATTAACTTTTAAAGGACTTGATAGAAATATTTTCAGGTTTCTGTTAAACAGAAAAATTGCTTGGCTTTGCGATCAAATCAGAAATTTTTATTCAGTTCTGATTCGGAGGGAAACGTGAGTTTCAATAAAGTTCTTCAATTTTTTTCTAGATTCCTCATTTGTTTTTTATTGAGGAAAGAACATTATGAAATATTTATCAGTGAGTCTTCTTTTAGGTAACACTCCGACATCTTACAACAGTGGATGCAATCCATGCCTTGCAAGCTCATCAGGGATCAGTAGCTGATTTTGATGTTTGCGGCAATAAACTTATTACATGCGGTTACTCTCCAAGGTTTGTATTTATTCAAGCTGAATTAGAATGACTTTGGTAGCTTAAAAATTTCCGCATTGTTAAATTGTAACCACACTTTCAGTCTAACTCTTCGAGGTTCGCCCATCGGTACAGAACTATGAATCACTGACGATTTCATAGCTATTTTAAATTCCCCGACTTATTTGCATTATTATGCGAAAATAGTCAAGTACGCTGTTTTTCTGGGCTTGATATTACAATAATTAAATATCTCATAATATAACCCATGATGTACAGCTTTCATTACAGATTGGGTAAAATGGCAGGTGATCGATTCATAATGATCTATGATTTAAGAACACTGCGCAGTTTGCCCCCAGTACCCTTACCAGTGGCACCATCATACTGCAGATTTCTACCATCTTATTCGGATGGTCGGATTATGGTTTGCTCTCAAGTACGTTTATTTATATTTTTTAAATCTGGAGTTTTAATAACAGTGAATATTATTGAGACAGAAATATCTTTTTGCAGCTATTTTTTTTCAAAATAACGCATTTAGCATTACGAAATTATTGCATAAGAATTAACACTGGTCGAATATATCTTTCTTTTTTCTTAGACTGGTGAACTGATTATAATGGACTTAAATGAGCAATCTAGTCAGATGCCTATTCAGTTGGATACAAATGGCTTTGCTATTACATCTCTTGATGTATCCACTTCGAAGCAATGCATTTCTTTTGGTGATCAAACAGGTTTCCATGTTTTTGTGGATATAAAGTTTAATTGGATGATTCTAGAAACAGTACTGAGTGCAGCCAGATAAAGTTAATTTACGAACAAAATTTGTCGAGAGAGGACCTTTTTTATACTGACAACAAAAAATACGGTGCTCATAACAAAGAAAATAATTTAAATAAATTAAGTAATTAACTAAGATAGCAGCATGTTTTTTTTTACTTTCTATAATTTGACCTACATAAGGACTTCCAGGTTTGATACACCTCTTTTCGGATCGAATGGAACCGATCTTTAATGAAAGTTCATGGGGCACAGATTTTCCAGATCCAGTAAGTGGAGTTTTAATGTATTTTTTGTAAATGAATATTCTCTTTTAGCCGCATTTCTAGAAATCATCGATTTTAAAAGCGGATGACTAGTCATCCTTAGAATGGTGATGATTTCTGTCTTATTTGACGTTCCGTCTTTCTTGCAATTACTGACATGAACAATTCCTGTTCTTTAGATTTCACTGTCAAAATTCGTTTTCAGATTGCTTTCCATCCACCCGTGAATATCGACGATCCGGAGCCCTCATATGGGGTGTTTCCCCTCCCGTTTCCAATGGATGATCATTATGCTTCGGATTGGCCTGAACAGTTGTGCATTAGACGGTTTAGGTATATTTTCTTTACACTGTCTCATAACTTTGCCAAACATTCGGACTTGAATTTACGATAGAATTTTCAAGAAATTTGCTAATTAAGAGAAATTTTCCAAATATTAAGATGATGCTTGAAAAGAATTTTCGTCCTTATTTTTCCTCTTTTAGACAACCGGACCCTATATCGGAAAAGGTGATTGATTCAATGCGCATGGTGCAATTTGTTGGATATGCTCATAATCCTCGTGCTGGTACGCCATTACGCAGCTTCAACGTTTGTCCATATACAAATTCTGTTCATGATAAATGCTTCTCAAATGGTAGTTTTGATTTTACAATATTACATTTCTATAAATATATCCAAAGCTTGTTGATAGTAGCAGTTGTTTTTCCCTAGTTTGCCGGTATTCAGTTTTTTAGGTTTCAAACGTTAATTTTAATTAGTGCTTCCATTTTTGATTATCTTGTCCAGTTTAATTCATTTAATGTTGAACTTTAACTTAATCACGTCGTATTAATTTCCTGCATTTCCATTTGATTATTGATAAATGCTTGCAAAAATTTAATAAATTTTTTTTCCAGCGATGAAAAATGATGAACTGCTTCACATTCCGAAGTTTTATTTGCGTACCGAAGGAAGGTCACCTTTTAAAGCTGAAGAAATTGATTTTAAGCGATATAATCGCACTGAATTCAACGCATTAGAAAATACTGTCGAAACAAGTCCTGCATGCATGCTTCTGCTTGTAATTCATATTTGCTTGTAATTCTTGTAATTTATGATTATTTTATATATTTTGCATCTTTTTGTTTTTACATGTTCCAGTTTACCTACGGCTATCTACGAAGAAAGAGTATCTTTCTTATTGTTATGGATATACTTCGATGCGTCGAAGCATGCATTGCAGTTAATAGTTGTTACCGTTCATCTCAAGGAGAATTCAAGACTTTGACAAATTTTCAGCATTCACTGCTTAAAATAGAATCACAAGTGAAGGACATTTGGCAAGCATAATGTTTTTAAAAAATGCTTTTGTTTTTATTTTAGGCAATGTATCATTTGATGAACGTAAGAACTGTTTTCCTTTCGCACTTCTGCTACCTGGAAGGCTGTATTTCATGTGAAATGAACCTCCTCTTTCGGTTACTTACAGATCGACCAGTATCGAGTGTGGTATCGGTATGCCCTTTTTTCAGTGATCTAAATGAGCTTCTCAGGAATGTTTAACTACAAAACGTGAACGGGTTATAGTGAAGTGTGGTAGCAGTATCATCAGGTGCTCTTGAAATGGCTGAATTCGTTGGAGAACACTTGCGTATCTTGTATGTTAAGATAGAATCATTATAATTAAACAGTAATGTAAATGTTGTAAGGACGAGTCTTCGATGTGTTTGACTTGTAGTGCTGTGAGTAATTAGCACATTGTATCGAATGAATGGAAATTCTGGTAGTGACAGAATTATTTCTTTGTTATATTTTTAGGCTAAGAATTTTATGAAAACTTTTCGATCCATTGATGATGGTAAAAGGTGGGCAAATGCAATTGCTAATGCAAGTTTGGCTGAAGCAGTTCACTTATTTATGCAAGTTTTTAGCAAAGTACTGGATAAGGTAATTTATAAAGTGAGCTTGGTTTATATAAGCATAGGATGTGCCTTTTACATTTTTATGAGATAATGAAGAAAGCGGTATTAGCAAGTAATCGTATCATTACTGAGATAAATTATATTTCTTATGTTATAATTCGTTTTTAATTGTAGCATTAAGAGTTATGCTTATTAACAGGAACTTTCTGAAACGACAGCTGGAGTGGCGCTTCGGAAGGAATTAGAGATTTCATTTACTTTGAATAATCACTGTATCCGGTGTTCCGAGCATTATCAGTCAGCCTTGTCGCAGCTTTATATATCATTAGCATACCCAACAAGTAAAGATGAAATACTTTTGGAGATTTTATTGCATTTTCTTTTATTTAACTTCTCTCATTTATTTATTTTTTCCAAATTTGGGATCCAAAATTATGATTTGATTTCATCGGAAATAACTCTTCCAGATAATGAAAAAATTGGATTTTGTACATTACTCGAAAAAACTCTAAACTGTCCCGAACAAAATGAAGCTATCTGCCAAAAGTGTGGGAAACTAGCACGGTTTGCATCAACACGTCGTGTGCGTTTACTGCCGAATATTCTCTCTTTAGATATGACAGCCACTACAGAAGTGGAACAAGCATTTTGGATTTCTCATATTCAGGTTTTTCTTGTTCCGAATCTTAACTGTTGTTCAAATGTACCAAATTTTATTAAATGTTTAATACTTCTTTTTTATTTTCATTGGATTTTAGTTATTTAGTTATTGTTCTATATGCGAGTGTTGAAGTTTTTGCTTATTTTATACTAATGTTGTGCAAATTTTGAAGAATAGTTTGCTTCTGAGCAGCATCTAAATTGGATCTGTAAGGATCTAGTTTGAGAACTTTTTTTTTTCATTTTTATTATTTGAGGCATTTGAAAGTCGAACAGTGCTGGCACCGAGTTCAGTGACAGATCAAAAGCTAAAGCCCTGTAGATACGGCACTGAATGCAAAAATCCGAGTTGTCGATATCTTCATAATAATGACAGGTTTATTTCAATATATGATCAAAATTCGATTCTTTTTTTTGCCAGGAGAACAGAATTAAAAACAAAACGGAGCAGATTTGCTGAATTTATGTGTGTATTGCTTTTCATTCGCGGACGATACAAATTTTAAAGTGGTAGTTATAAGATATTCACATATTTACGAATTTTTAATAATAATGAAGTAACACTGGGATGGAGTGGTGAATACGGATGGTCTGAACGAAAGAAATTTTTTGTGCGTTTATATCTCAAAAGTGCTGCATTAAGACTGGACAATCTTTATGAACAGTTTGCTTTATTTGTTTTTAAAGCTCATAGCTAATCTCACATTCATTCTAGTAAATCTGAAACAGTAATACCAACGACCGAATGCACTGCCTCATATCTTGAATGTTCTCACTATCTACCAAATTCAGTACATATCAAAATAACGGATGGTATTTGTACGGTTTCGGAAGTAACGAGATTTTCAAATCATTAAAAAAATTGAATTTTTTAGCTTTAATTATTTGCTTATTGACAATTTCAATAATTTTCATTTATTGGATTTGCAGTCTTTCAAATTTAGAATAAAATGGAAAATAGTACATCATTTTATCTAGCAGCAGCCGTATTTATCATCAACCAAAATGAAGAAAAGGAAAATGAAGAGCATTTAGTCACTGCGATAAAATCAAAACAGGTAATTATTTTGTTTTTAGTTCGCTTTTATCTGTCCTTTGTGCTAGTTAAGTATTTGTGCTTTGAAGGATTCTTGCTGGATATTATTCAACGATTGGTCTGTTACACAAATCTCAGAAAATGAAGCATTACATCTACATGCTTCTTGGAAATTACCAGCTATCCTGTATTATGTGCAGGATAAAGAAAATAGTGGTAAAGAAGGTAACTGATTTTATCGAAATCTTATTCAAGTTATCTGAAAATTGCTTATTGTCTGCTATATATATATATATATATATATATATATAATGTATAGATGTATACATTTATTTCAATATATATCAGTTCCAGCTGCCAAAGATGAAAATCGTGCTATAATCCCACGATCTGTATTCTGGAATGATCTGGATTCAAACAAAATCAAGATACCGGAACGAGGAAGTGAAGTTGCGATCTATGCGAAATACACAGTCAGCGAGGTTACTGTTCTCAATTTTTAATATAAAGCTGTTGTGTTAATAACTTTAAATCTCTTAACCACAGTGAGTTCACGATGTAGTTGGAGAGTAGCATTATGAATTTCATTGTTTTGAATGAGATAATATCATTATTAAGGAATTAAGATCATATCGTTACTAAGAAACATTAAGAAATATACTGACCGCATGCTGAATAATTCTGAGCCATATAACTTAGATTTCTAATTTTAGACTGGCGAAAAGTTGATATCTGAAGTTTCTGCAGTCGACGAAGATGGTAGCTGTTTCATGAACAGTGTTATAAAAGAACCAGGAGTAAAGAGTGATATAGATAATTCACAGACGCTGAAGAGAGTATCTTTGAAACTTTTATATTTGATTCAAGAAAAAATGACAATCATTGGATACAAAATTGAACACCTGTTTGGAATGCTAAATATCCACGTAAGGATTTCATGCCTTTGATTTTTCACTTTATCTAAGATAATATCATTAAAAATGAATTGCTTTTATCATTACGGTGAAGATATTATAATTTTCGTGGGAACTTCATTTTAAAGTCGTTTTTGATATTCTCCAATTCTGATCAGTCTTTTTTTTATAGTTAAGTAGATATTATATGGTACACAATTTCACTACAGCTATCTAATAATTTTGTTTTGAACAATTTTCATCTTCACTATGACTACAAATGCTGATGTGTGTATTGGTTTCTTAAAAGCGATTGTACCACGAATAGTGTGATATTCGTTATTTTTGCTTGTAAATATTGTTTTTAGTGAAATTTATTTATCATGAAGTTATAGGTGCCGGAAGAGCAAGTAAAAGACATTGTGTCACTTTATCGCTCATTGTTCAAACGTTCGCTTTCATTAAATGCTTTGGCACAGCATTTTTTTGGTAGATTTTCATCACTTTAAATCAATATAATTTTTGGAGTCTGTAAAATCTTTTAAAAAATTTTCTCTATACAAAATAAAGCTGGACAATAGAAACGTGGTTTTTGTAGTTTATGTTGTTTAACGCTGTAATTTTGAGGAAGTATTGTAATAAAGTAATAGCATCATTGTGTACATGCAGGCGAGTCAGTGGAAGAAGAAGAAACCGATCCAATTGATCTTGCACGTTTGTCGCTCCGATTGCACACAAAATTCAATGAATTAAAGGAAGCCGACGAGGCAGATATCAATATTGCTGCATTAACTCAATCATTGGAGACAAATCTTTCTTAAATCTGACGATTTTTTTAGGTTTATAAGAATTTTGCTGAATTAAACACTGAACATGGAATTTTTTGTAGTTCGAGGCGTAAACGAAAGTTCAATTTTGTCTTTGTTAAAGCATTATAAGTCTTATTTCACATTCTAGATGTGTATTTTTTTTTTGGAAAAGTTCTGTTGTAATAAGATATTTCTTTATATAATATTGAATAAATAGGTAAGATGAGACAGGAGAAAAATCACCATCCAAAAAAAACCCAAAGTGAGGGAAATCTATTTTTGGAGTTTACCTCTGTTCATCATTTAATTCAGTCTTGTATTTGTTCTTTCTTCGCATATCTTCTTATTTCTCTTGTATATTTTTCATTCTTTCATGTAACGTATATGCAGTTTTTCAAAAAGTGAATGCACATTGTAATTTAAATGTTGTTAAGTGAAATGCTGTACAATTTGTAGTTTGCTTATCCATCTATTTTTGCATTTTTTAAAAAATATATTTATGTCGTGTTAATAAAGATATTTCCCCAGGAAGTTTTTTTATGTTATTGAAATGTTATTTTATTACACTTATTGCATCAAAAAATTATTTAAAGTATTTAAGTATTTAATATTAAATTATTTAAAGCACTTAAATAAACATATGAGATTTCAACGAGATGGAAAGTTATGTATATGTATATGAGGTTTTCAATAAAATAGTTTTATAAAAAAAAAAAGGAAGAAAAGAAGTATGATAAATAATTTCTTCAGGATTTGTGTAAAGAAAATTTTGTCTATTTTTTCAAAATTTATTTGGTTTTCCTACGGAAAAAAAAAGATTTTAGTAAAAATTATTAAAAGATTGCTTGTATACTAGCTGTCTAGAAATTACGTGGAAAGATTTTTAGGGAAGTGAAAAGGTATCAAGTTTTTGAATATCAAAAATCGCAAATTGATAAGCGAAGACGGAAAGGTTTTTGGTTGTTTATAGTAGAATAAATTTAGAATAGATTAGTCGAAATTTGGTGTTATGTTCAATGCGTGTTTCAGTTGGTCAGTCAATGGGGCATTCTGTAACTGTTGACTGGTACCTCTTCGTAAGATTTCAAATGTGTCAACATGGAGTAGTTGCTGCTGAGATAGTTTTTACATTGATTTTCCAAATGTATTTTTGTTAAACAAACGATTATAGTCGAGTTAGAAAAAAAAAGATCTTGAATAAAATCCTTATTTTTAGAATTAGCATCCTATGAGATGTCCAATACGTCTACTGGTCAACATGACCAAACTGAAGCAGAAACTATATGCTTCAACAATTTCTAATGAAGGAATTGTCAACCGCGATCGTTTACGTCTTTTCATACGTGCAGGTAATGGAGGACAAGGATTGCAACGATTTAATGGCACTGGAGGAAATGGTGGAGACGTGATTATGGTTGCCGATTCGAAGATGACTTTTGAAGCGATGCTGAAGAATGCTAAACATTATGTGTTGAAGGTACAAGCTCAAAGTGGTATGAATTCATCGCATACTTCACTTATTGGTGTCAATGGAAAGTCAAAAATTCTTAAGGTACCGTTAGGTGTCGATGTAGTAAATGCGGAAACTAAATTATTGATAGCACGTTGTTCACGACCGTTTTTCAATTACATAATAGCACGTGGTGGTCATGGAGGTTGCGCCGAAAATTGCTTTCAAGCAACTGCTGGTGAGCGATTTTTCGCGGATCTGCATCTTAAACTTCATCCGAACATCGGTCTGGTTGGTTTCCCGAATGCAGGAAAATCGACAGTTATGAAGGCATTAATACCTAAAAAAAGCATCAAAATAGCCAATTATCCATTTACAACACTGAAACCTCAGATTGGTTACATTAATGATTTTGGATCGGAGTTAGAATCAGCTGATGATAACGACGATTCGTTCAGTTTATCAATCGCCGATCTACCAGGATTGATAGAGGGAGCAGCACTGAATCGTGGGAGAGGTCGAGAATTCCTGAAGCATCTAGAGTTCAGCGATATATTACTGATGGTTGTTGATGTTCTTGGCTTTAAACTTGATTTATCCATGAGTAATCCATACCGCAATGCCCTGGAAACTATTGCACTTTTGAATATTGAGTTAGAAAAGTATGATCCAGCTTTAGCGATGAAGCCAACGATTATTACGCTGAACAAAATTGATTTGCCTAATGGTGAGCAAAAGGCCAAGGAATTAGTTTCAATTTTAAAAAAGAAAAATTGGACAGAAGCGGTACCAGAAGAAATGCGACCCGCACGACCATTATCTGTAAAAGCAGTAATACCAATTGCAGCGAAGGATGGCCGTTTAGGCGATCTGAAAAATCAGATGAAATTTCTCTATGCAAAAATGCATCCTTTATCAGCACCAAATTTCAGTTCCGTTAAAAAAACTATACTTGTATGATTATTCGTTACTTTGTCTATAGCTTTTTTCCAATATTCCAATACTTTGCTTCAACTTTGGTTCTTCAAAAAATAATTCCACTAAATAGAGTAAAATAGATGATGGAGAGAAAATTCGTCGATTCCTCAAATTCGAACTTGGATTTCTTCATATTTTTATCAATTTTTTGAGATGCTTGTTTTGTGCTTCATCTCATTTACCCATTTAGCCATATCATATTAGATTATATATATATATATATATATATATGTAATATTACAATTGACGCTGTGTCTGTAGTTTTATTTATTAGTATTTACCAATTCAATACGGGTCCAAATATTTTGAAATACATTATTTTAAGTCAAAAAATTGTTTGTTATTGTTTATTACTGTTTGTTTTTATTACCTTTTACAAATGTGTAAATTCGATATTTATATATCCTTAGCGATATAAATAGTGATTGTAAAGGCCGGCTAAAATAAAATAAATGATTTAAATCGTCATGTTGTCATGTCTATAAAGGTATTGGATCTCTTTAATATTTTAATTAAATTTAATTTGCGATCTTAATTTACGATTTGTTCTTTGTGCATTGAGATTTTATACCACAATTGCTTTTAGGAAATGTAGATGTTCGTGATAAGTATATATGGCGCAGCAACGGTGTGTTGTTATGTAAATGACATAGAATGGTTTCTCAAAACCCATTAAATTTATTTCATGTTGCAAATCTGCTTAACACAATGGCACCTGGGAAAAGTGAGCGGCGTAAACGTGGTCGCTGGGAGCAGTATAATGCTGATTTCAATGCGGATGAAAATTCTCAATCGAGTAATTTAGGTGAAAAAAGCAGTCCGAGTGATAAAGATGCTACAGGTTGATTTTGATAGATCAGGATTTAGATGTTGCATTTGTGCTAGGAATGATATCTTAATGATTCCAGATTTAATACAAATTATGGGCTAATTTTTTTTTTTTTTGCAATAAAAGCAGGAAGTTTTTTAATTTTTCCAGTTTAAAGGCTTGAGGGTCATGATCGCGTTTGCATTAATATTATCCGTGCATTATTTTGTGTATTTATTATATTGCATTTTCTGGGAGATGTTTAAGTGAATAGTCACTTCGACTATTCCTTCATGCTTATTTTTATTTCCATTCAAAAGGCTACTTGTGATTCAGTTCATTTGTTCTTTGTTATAGTACCAAAAGCAGCCAGCCACAATTTGGATGGACAGGCTATGATTACACGTACTGATGAGTTCGGAGCGAAGGATTATCGACATGAAATGAAATTGAAGCCTGATCATGCATCACGGCCGCTTTGGGTTGCTCCTGATGGACATATCTTTCTGGAATCATTCAGTCCTGTATATAAGCATGCTCATGATTTCTTGATTGCTATTTCTGAGGTTGCTTATCATATTATCGATAACTTTTCACTTACTATTCCTTATCTAACATCCAAGTCTTCTTTAGTTCCTTAACTTTTGAAGTTTATAAAGATATGTGAGCAGTGTGTCGTCCGACATCAGCATAATATACTGATACACTCTTGTCGAACGATACACTCTTGTATCATGTTTAAAACGGCATATAGCAGTGGATGTATTGCTGTAGTATTTCCTATGACTCTGCTTTATTCCATTCAAACTGTAATTCATTATTTAGCCAGTCTGTAGACCGGAATTTATTCACGAATATCAACTTACGGCGTATTCACTGTATGCCGCTGTGTCAATCGGTTTGCAAACCAACGATATTATTGAATATCTGGAGAGATTATCGAAATCTTCCTTGCCGAAGGGAATTATTGAATTTATCAAGGTAAGAACTGACTCATTTATTACTAATTTTATTTAATTAATTGAGAATGGCAGGGGATTAAAAATGCTGCGTTAGCAAGGATATCTTAAAAACTTTATTGTATGGATATATATGTGGATAAGAAACAATAAATGTGTTAGTCAGTAGACGAAGCTAAGTAACTGTATATACAAGTAAAAGGTGAAGTTGTGAAAAATGAAAGACGCTATGAGAATTTTTGTCGAATGATTATTCTGCTTTTATAGATGTGTACTGTTAGCTATGGAAAGGTGAAATTAGTGCTTAAATACAATCGATATTTCATTGAATCGCGTCGTTCTGATGTTATACAAACTTTGCTGAAGGATAAAGTAATCCAGCAATGTCTCACAGAAAACAAGCCGCCGATCGAAGTACCACAAACAGTAAGTTTTAATACCTTCGACTGAATCTGGATCTCCGTTGAGTAATTAATGATTTCCAGAATATTTAGGAACATGAAAACATTAAATCTCAAATAGCTCCAACTATCATGATTTTCTCCTAATGTGGTGATTGTTAGGTTGAGTAACTATCGTATCTAAGTGTAAATTTGAGGTGCGTTTTTTTAACTATGATAAATAAGACAAAAAGAGTAGTCATTGCAAAAAAGTAGATAATCCAAGTTCATGGTTGTTTTTGTAAGCGTATTCATTCATTACTCTTATCGAATTTTTCTTGGTATGTAAATTTTGTTTTCGATTCTTCTAAAATCTGGTTCAACTTTTATATTATTTGTCAGAACATAAACATGGAGAAAATACAAATTCCGGGAACCCAACAGCAACAACAAGAAGCAAAGGAAAAAGATGCTAGAAAATCAAATGTGCCGCAGGACATCGATTCATATTATGGTAAATTAGACGGTGATGATGAGGATGAGGATGAAGAAGCCATTAAAAACCTACAGCTGTTAACGTTTGAAGTAAGTTGAACAGAAAAATTTTTTTGGATTAAATTATGTAAAATATATGCTTATTTTAAAAAGAAGAAATCTTTTTAAAATTCAATAACAACTAAAATTTTTTTTAAAGATCAAGCAGGAATCAATTGAAATTGTACAGAAACGTTGCATCGAATTGGAATATCCATTGCTAGCGGAATATGATTTTCGCAATGATACTTTCAATGAAAATCTTGGAATCGATCTGAAGTCATCTACTAATCTAAGGTATTGTTATGTTTTAATTTAGATTTTGATAGAAAGGAAACTTCATAAAACTGGTGCATAAAAGTTTATGTGCTGCAAATCAAAATAACGCCATGTTCACAGGCCTTATCAGGAAAAGAGTCTACGAAAGATGTTCGGTAATAGTCGCGCACGTTCTGGTGTCATTGTTTTACCCTGTGGTGCTGGTAAAACATTGGTAGGCGTTACTGCAGCAACAACAGTCAATAAGCGATGCTTGGTGTTAGCAACGTCAAACGTTTCAGTGGAACAGTGGCGTGGACAATTTAAGGTAGCTTTTTCAGTTATCTATTATTTATATCTATTGAGATGGATCTCCTTTGTTTTTGTGATTTTTCATTCCATTGAAACGATTTTTCATTGATTCTCATGACTTTTCCATGTTTTGAATAAAATTTTTAAGCAAAAGAAAATTTTTTGGAAGATTTTTAAAAAGAATTTCTCCTTGCAAATCTTTAGCTGTGGTCAACAATTCGAGATGACCAACTGGTTCGATTTACTCGAGAGGCACGTGATCCAGTACCATCTGGTTCAAATGCTAATAAGCCAATTGTATGTATAAGTACTTATTCTATGGTTGCATACACTGGAAAACGAACATATGCAGCCGAAGAAGCTATGAAATACATTGAAAGCCGTGAATGGGGACTTGTTCTGCTAGATGGTATGTCTTTTTTTTTATTTTGAAATGTGTATATACGTGAATTATGAATGTTTCTGTACATCATTCGACGGAACTGAAATTTTCATTCTTTAGATTTCGAGAGAGATTACTTTTTCGGAACATAACAGATTTCGGTTACAATAATTGCAGAGGTACACACAATACCGGCTAAAATGTTTCGACGAGTATTAACAATTGTTCGAGCTCACTGTAAGTTAGGATTAACGGCTACATTGGTCCGTGAAGACGATAAAATCACGGATTTAAATTTCTTGATTGGTCCGAAAATATATGAAGCGAATTGGATGGAACTGGAAAAAGCAGGACAAATTGCAAAAGTACAGTGTGCTGAGGTAACGCTTTTTAAAGGGATGTTATACCACGATGAAATAAGGCCATTCTTGAATTGTTTACTCTGTTTAAAAATGGGAATATAGTTTGCTTGGCGAATAATTTTTTAGGTTTGGTGTCCTATGAGTGCCGAATTTTACTCATATTATTTGCGAGCTCAAATTGGCCGCCGTCTTCTGCTAGCTGTGATGAATCCCAATAAATTTCGCATATGTCAGTTCCTTATCAAATATCACGAGCGGCGGAATGATAAGGCAAGGAATGTAGCTTTTGGTTTTTTTTGGATCACGAAAACGAAATTGGCGCAACAGTTCTCAATAGAAGCTATTCAGAAAATGATATATAGCTAACAAGATAGTTTGTTGAAAAAAGTTCAAGACATAGCTTTTGTTCCCATCTTCATTTCCGTTTATTCTTTGAGTTCAGTTGTGCCGACTTCTGTGTGGAGTGCCGGCATTTATCCGCAAAAACAGCAATAAATACCAATATTACGAGGAAATTTCCAGTTTAGGTATCAGATAACTGCTGTTGCAGAGTGCGATGGAGTCATATTGTAGTATAACTTTGAGATCAAGCTGCTGTTGGAATTTTTTCCAGAATCAGTTTAAAAGAGAATTATGCAATGCTGATGTAGTGATCTAATCTTATTAACCTGAATTGTTTTGAATAGTTATGTTGCTTATTCATGCTGATTTATTCCAAATTTAAGATCATTGTATTTTCTGACAATGTATTCGCACTGAAGAAGTATGCCATAGAGATGGATAAACCATTTCTGTATGGTGAAACGGGACAGAATGAACGAATGAAAATTTTACAAAATTTCCAGTATAATCCAAAAGTGAATACAATTTTCGTGTCAAAGGTTTGTTTACAATTAATTTAATCACGAGTAAAATTTATGTTGCTAATTCTTTCAATGCCAGGTTGGAGAATAAAGCAGGACTAGGAGAGATAATAGAATAGGACGATTTTTGCATTAATGATACATACTAGTTAATGATACCTACGGCAATTGTATTACTATAAAATAAAATACTGTATGTTATTCCAAAACACAATTAAGAAAAATCACAGTTCCATTGATTTTATCGGGCAAATTTCGCGTCTCCAATCTAGTTTTATACTTTTGCAGGTTGCCGACACGTCTTTTGATCTACCTGAAGCGAATGTTTTAATCCAGATCTCAGCGCAAGGCGGTTCTAGGAGGCAAGAAGCACAACGATTGGGACGTATACTACGAGCTAAAAAAAATTCAGGCGATGGATTCAATGCATTTTTTTATTCATTGGTCTCGCAAGTAATGCCTTCAATTCTGTTTATTGATTATAATCTAAAAGCTGTTTTCTGTATTCTACGATAACCTTTTCAGGATACTGTTGAAATGAGTTATTCGCGCAAACGACAACGTTTCCTGGTAAATCAGGGTTACGCTTATAAGGTCTGCACTTTTCGTGGTCGGTAATATCAGCTCCAATTATTTCGAACTGAGTCTGAGAAAAAGCGGAAGTATTCCCAGTCATTATTTCTAATAGTTTGTGAACTGTTTTTTTTTACAAATTTTAAACAGGTTGTGAACCGACTACCTGGAATGGAAAAAGAAACACTGAAATTGGCTACGAAGGATTCTCAGCTTCAGCTGCTGCAGCAGGTACTTGCTGCTTCGGATGCAGATGCTGAAGAAGAGGATATTAAAGAAGAAAGTGTAGATGGTTCAAGGGAAGCAAAAGTAAGTCAACTTCTGGTCTACTTTCTGAACTTCTAGTTTGTTTCGGTGGATGTTAGAAGAATCCATTTCTCTATATATGATGTTATGCAAATACGTATGTTCACTTTCGGGTACATTTATGGATCCTTGTGATTGGTTCATGAGATTATTTCTAAGATCTTGCAATACTGAGATTCAACCATAAACTCAACAATACAAAAAGAATTTCTTTAATTTCTTTTGTTTCGGGCTGCTTCCGACCTTCATTTCCGCTTTTCATGCTTACTTGCGAATATTAATATTTTGTAGATGATGCGAAAAGAAGGTTCATTTTCATCGTTTTCTGGAAGCAACTCCATTTCTTATATGCAGAAAACAAGAACTGTCAAAGATGAAGATCGACACCCTTTATTCCGAAGATTTCGAGCTTTCAAATAATTTTATTATTACTGTTTGTGTGTACATAATAATTTCATATATATTCCACTTCCAAGTGATCAGTCACATGATGTTATGTTGATAAAGGATTAACAGTGAATAAATGTTTCTACAGATCGAAACCACGCTTCCTATTTGTTGCATTCAGCTTGATTTGGCTTCTATAAACGTGAATTTTCAAATATAAGTAATTACATTAACGGTGGCAAGACAATTTTTCCTCGCAAAAGACTGTTTTTGACGTAAAATATTGTCGGTGTTACAGTAGGTAATAGAAGTTTCAGACGGAACGTAACAATGATGTATGTTTTCCTTTTCAATTCCACCATTTTTAATACCTTTTCCCTTATATAGATGAAAAAATCAGTGACCTGCGATATATCCGTTCGAGAAATAACCGAAGCAAGCGATTCATTTGTTTGTGGGCCATATGATGAGAGGGCGTTCATATTCCTGGTCATCATATTATTAGCTGTTGATACGAATTTTGTTACGCTGGTGGGCTGAAACGTCTGAAATTTAAATCTAAGCTTAGACTCAATGTAAGCCAGAAAAACTAATGCAATTTAACAACTATACCTGCTGCTGGTATTGATGTCCGGTAGCCGATGGAAGAGACGGTAAAGATTGTGCGTTGACTTGAACTTGCGTTGCATTCTGAATATTTGTTGATGTCAAATAACCGGACGGCATTGCTATATGTTCATCACCTTCTGCGGTCACCTATAACTAACCAATTTTTCACGATTTCTACATGAAAGTAGGAAATATTTGCGCCAAGCTCAACGTGCTATATTTCTCCATCCTCCACTTCTTGCATTTGTAGTGTTATCCTTTGTATTATACATGGATGTCAATTTCATTAATATGGAGATCCCGCGAAATATAGCACGAATTAATCTGGCACAACTGCATCTTCTAAATTGTACTGTAGTTCAAGAAAAAAGTTTAAATTATACATGACTTGAGGTTGCCGGTGATTGAGCGTTATTATTATGTGTTGTTGAAACAGAAACGGCTGAGGGCGAAACTGGTACCAAATTTGTCGACAAAGTGGCATTTCCAGCTGCAACTTCATGTTTTTATTAATTTGCTTGAAGAGTTCGAATCAACAGATTCAATAAAAAAGCAGCTTACCATTACTAATACGTTGATGTGATTGTTGCACATGATTATTTAATCCAACGATAGTTTTGTAACGCTTTGAACATTGACTGCATTTGTATGGACGTAAACTGCAGATCATAACATTTTTAAGATTAATTCTGCTAAAATCAGTCCATTTGAAAATTTGAGGTTAAATTCAATATAATGCAAAACGGTTTAAACTAGGTTTAAATTAGAGCTAAATTTAAATTAAATACGAAAGTGTACAAAAAGGCATAAAAAAAATGCACAAAAAATAGACTTCCTTTCCATTAATCTTTCTAACACGTGAGAAAAGATATTCTCCTCCTCAAAAAGCAACAAACTTTGCATATTTACTGGGTGCGCCGGACTGTATCAGTGGCGCAACTTGCCCAGGTACCACTGCAGTCAAGTCGAATGATACTGCATTATTTGCACCATTATCCTCAGTATAACCATGTACTTGACGAGCATGATAACGTGCTCCTTGCAAATTTTTGTATCGTTTGTTGCATCCTTCAACTGGGCATTTGTGCCGCCTTTCATCAATCCTGTATATTTGGAATATGCAGTTAAGACGAAACTTATGGGATCTAATGAAGGAGACATAAAGAAAGAAATCCGAAGAAAAATTGAAATTCAAACAGGGATAACAATTCATAAGTCATTTTCTTTCGGGTCAGATAACTAAGCAAAGTTCTGATACTAAGCTTGTCTTAAAAAAAGAAAGTGCTTCAACAAAAATATTGCAAGTCTCGAACTCTTCCATAAAATGCTTCATTTCAAAGATTACACAAAGTGCTATGAATCTTCATTAAATTTCACCCTTGCTCATAGTCATCACAGTCTTCGTTTCTGTATGAATCATTCGATTCCTCATCGCGAGGGTCTGAAAAGTTATAGAATAGCTTCAAAAACAAAATCATCTCGAATTTTTGAACTTTCTTATTGAAGAGAAAAAAGATTTATGATGAGTTTTGGGCGCATCTATCTTTTAGCTAATATAATCAATAATCTTTCAGGCTTTGTGGAAAGCCTTCAACGTCAAACTTTTTAAAGTTTTTTCTATAATAAATAACGTACCAAATGACAACACAAGTAATAAATTAGAATTTAAAAACTACCCAAACGCGACTTATCACCAGCTTGTCCCAAAACATTTGCACCAGCAACTGCAGCAGCCAGTGTTTTTTTCCTGGAAAACCATGGAAGTGGTCTAAAAGTAGTCACGATTTGTATTTAACGCTAGAAAGAATGAATGATATGCGAAAAAGCCACGACCATTTGGTACGTCGACAGCACAAACGATGGAGCTAGTAGGTCCAAAGTAAAACACATTTCAAGACAAAGATTGAAAGATAGCTCTACTGCAGTCTCAGTAACATCTCTGGTAATGGAGACATTATTAAAACTTTACAGTTACAAACCTGTAGTGGCCAATCGCAAGCTTTACAGGTTCAGGATTGACAGGAACTGCTTTCTGAGGAGGAAGTTTTGAAAATAATCTAGAAATATTACTGGAATTAGAAAAATTTGGATTTTTTAGGAAAATAGCGAAAATTCTTTTCTTTTAACCTTTTCATCAAATACAAGTTACCCGTTTATTTTTTGAATTACTTAAACATTACTTTCAGGAGAGTAATTTTTTGCTCAGTCATAAAAGTTCAAAATCATGTATAATTCCTCCGGCTAACAAAATTGCGAAAAAATCTTACAAGACTTGAACACTTACTTGCAAATGGAGCTTAGCGGAAAAACAGCAGTTAATGCAGCAGCTTTCGAAGGATCATCGTCCAACGAAGAGTTTTTAGCGCTTTCTTCTTTTTTCTTCATTTCATCTTCGATTACAGCTATAATAAACATAGTGAATGAAATTCAAAGTCAAGTATCCAATATATTCGGTATTGATATATTAAACAAATAATTATGCGTTAGTGTACATTTTAAACAAGTACTTTTTACAACACTCTATTCAATGCAAACATTATGCCATTATTTATCTCAGTCGATTTCTTAACTCCATAAAACTGGAAGTTGAAGGCTGTTAGTTTTATCTATCTTCAGTAAAAATTACAGAGTTAAAATTTATAAAATTAGTCTTCAAAAGTATTCGAGATATTTCAGATGCTCAACTTTACTGTTCTCATCTTTCACTATACGGAATGGAAAACCGTATTAGAAAGAATAATTAGATGTTTTAAAAAGAGAAATGATAGATTTATATGTTTTTATGACTTTCTTGGGACCGTTCTAACTCTGATCATACCAAAGAAAAAAACAACCGAAATTAATAAAACAAATTAAATTACGGATATGTGTCTCCTCGATGTGCTGCAGTAAATCATGGAGACTTCCATAGTTAAGACCACAACCACTGAATTGACAAATATTAATACTTAAAAGTGCCAAGGCCATTTTCCTGCAAAAAGTAAAGTCACTACGTCACGAATTTCAATAGTTGAGCCTTAAGAAATTCAGGTTTTCATGTTTTGAAAACCCTATGTAAAATAATAGAAATTTGAAAGATGAGTGGAAATAATATAAGAAAGTCTAAACATTTTTCATACAAAAACTAAATTGTAGGGCAAATTTTATATGCAAATAGGCATGCTATAAAAAGAGTGAGGGCAAAATTTATTATCCAATCTCAATACTTGAAGCAGAATCTTCTTCATCCACGTATTACAACATCTATTATTCTCTATTTTTACGTTGCATAAAATGTGTTCAATGTTCATATGAAGAATGACTGCCTTTTCATTTACGTAGAATAATATTTCTATAACTGTTTATTTTTTTCTTCCTAGTGATATATCTCTTCTGCTTCCTTGATATTATTAAGTGTTATATACATTTATATCATTCAATAATTACGCTCACAGCAGGATTAATGATATTTAATAATTTAAACGGGTGTCGTACTGGAGATCACGACATTAGTCATTGCTTAGTTTATTCACACAACTGACTCATTCACTCATCCATCAATAAATTAAGCTATCTATTCATTAATCCATTTACCTATCAGTCATGCTTGAATAGCACAATTAATAATCATAAATTAACAGTTTAAAACAGCACGTCACTGACTGTGCTTTATATCTCTCACCAATTTCCCTTCCATTTATGCTTGAAATTGACCATAGGAATTACGTAACAGCAATAGAAACAAATCAAAAAAGAAATAAAAAACCAAAACTTGAAATGAAAAAGTAACCCCTCCGGGAGGTTAAATTGCTGAGAATTTTCCGTTGCATTGGATGATATGATTCTCAAAACGCCCAACTGCTCATCATGTTGAGAGGGTACGGTATTACTGTGGCCGCCTGTTCTTGCGGGTCAAAAGGGGCTCGGGGGGTTCGATTCGGGGGTTGGGAATGGGGGTGATACATTGCGTGGTTATCTGAAGTTACGGTCTAATTAATAGTTTGGTATGCTTCTCTGTTTCGTAAATTGTGTGCGAACGAAAGAATAATCATTATTGTGAGGCAATATGGTTATGGAAATTGATGCAGGATTTTGGAGAGTTGCGAGAATCAACGTGAAAATGCATCTGATTGTTAATTTGACGTCTGCCAGTTAAGTATGAGTAGTGCCACACGCTCCATTCGTCGTTCACGACGTAATGTTAATACAGCAACAACAAGCACAACACATCCCGATGACATGATATCAATGGATTTATCAGGTGGTGACACGTCACCTCCCGTAAGTTTGAACTTGACTCATATTGACATATCGATCAGATTTTGAATTTTCTATTTTCTTCAGAATTTCCCATCAAACACCATCTGTTTCTGTGAAGATTAGGGTCACCATACGAGCGAGTTCTATTTCAGTTTATTTGTTCTTGTTTCAAAAATTTAATTTCTGGTACTTCATCAAGGCTTTCAAGTGTTTTTCTTGCGCCATAATAGCAACTGTTACTCAGCACATGGTAAATGGAAGCATAAAATTTGTCATGGTCCTAACATAACGTTTATATGGCTTGTAACTTTTTAGATGAAGTCAGGAACACTGGATATTTCCTACTTCTGTTCATGATAGGAAATATCTATTGCTCTTGACTATATACAGCTATGAATTCTGTTGATTTCTGATTAATTAGTGTTGACATCAGGTTTATGCATTATCAAGACCCATGTTTGGAAATCAATTATCTGAATTTGAACATTTTATTAAACATTGAATTAGTTATTTATTTCATTTCAGACTCGACGACGTCGTCTTAATAGTGACGATCCTATGGAAGGATGCTCCAAAAGAGAAGGGGTTAGTACAAGAAGAAAAACAGATGCGAAAATAGAGCTGGGCATCCGATTAATAGCCCAAATGCGACTCATCCATAATACTAGAAGAACTGTTGCACTAGAGAGGTTAATTTTTATTTTGTTCTATCTTGGAATTTAAAAAAAAAATAGAGATATCTGTTATGAAATTTTACAGTTAGTATGTTCATTTAATATGTTCTAGGACAAGTATTGGAAGTGGAAATGAGGATCAAATTGATGCTGGGGTTGTTGGCAGCGAATTGACATTTGAAGATAATGCGGGGCATGTTTCCATTATTAGTTTGAAATAACTATTTCAATTTAAATAATCAGTGTTTATATATTAAATATACAGGGCTGTTTCAAATTGTCATGAAAATGAAATTCCATATATACCGGTCTTTTATTCTTCCTCAGTTTTTCAGCTTCGGAATGTCTCTGGATTCTCTATTAGGTCCAGAAATAAAACGAGAGGATATTACTCGAAAACAATACATTCGACCAATTTTAGATGTACCGGAAGCGTCTCTTTCGCCCATTGAAATTAAAGTTGAGGAAAATAGCGCAGCATCAGTAAATGTTTCCATTGTTGTGAATTTTAGTTTTCTGCTTTTAGAAATTTTCTAAAACAGTTCATTTTTCCCAGTTCATTGGAATTCATAATAAACGTCGAGATTTACAGCCTTGCTCATCATATCTGGAGCAGCAGCCATCCACTTCAACGGTTGCAGCACATCAGGCGTCTTCGATACCATCAGCCACGGCCCATTCTACACCTCGAAGTTCCTCAGCAGCTGGAGCAGAATCAAGTGTTGAAAGAGTTGCTAAACAGGTTAGTTTCCTTATCGTTTTGTGGGTTTTTGATGTCGAAAATATATAAGTTTTCTGTCTACTATCTTCAAAAGAATCTTGAACGCTGAACAAACTTGTCTAACACATTCGAATTTAAATGAAAAGACTGAATATTACATTTTGATCTTTAGGACAGTGCTTGGCAATTTTCAAAAATTCTTTTTTGACCACTGGCATATAACTGATTGAGAGAGTAAGACCAGAATGCTTTAACCATTTTAAGTTTATTTCAATTGTTCAAATAGAGATTTCTAAATTGAAAGTTGTACTATCCTTTTACATATTTTGTACCACTTTTTTACTTCCTAGGAAGCGCAAGTATTAGCACGAATTGCTGAACTTCGAAGACAAGGTCTCTGGACAGCATCCCGATTACCAATGATTGAAATGCCTCCGCGAAACAAAACGCATTGGGATTATTTGTTGGAAGAAATGCGTTGGATGGCTATAGATTTTCGTCAGGAACGAACTTTTAAACGTCAGGCAGCGAAAAAGGTCATCAAATTTTCAACTCGAGGTTTTTAATGTAACAAAATAGCTCGCACCACGTGAATGTTCAAGTTTAGATATTGTTCTCATTTTCATTTTTCAAATTATTGCTAAATAGTTTTTACAAATATAGTTCTCATCTCAAATTGCACGGATGTTACGAGATCGGGAACAAGAAAAGGAACGAGTAGAACAACGGGCTGTAAGAGAAGCAAAACGTGTTTGTGCGCTTATCGCAAAAATGGTTCGAGACTTCTGGCAGAATGTTGATAAAGTAGTTGATTTACGTGCACAGGTTGTGTATTTTCATCCTTCACTTTTCTGCAGTAAATCTATAAATTTTTTTTATTTTTATAATTCTGTCTATGTTTTGTTTTTAAATAGTGACGGTGTAAAATACACTGAGTTGGTAAAAACTGGTTTTTTTCTCCCGTTATGTTTTATATTTCTAGGCATTTATAATTTTTAACTGAAGAAATGTGAAAGTTGTAAGTCTAGTTATTTTTAATCGAGGGGAAACATTAGACTTTAGTTAGAATTCGAATTGTTCCAGGAAATAATCGAGTCAATGAAGCGGAAAGCGTTAGACCAACAATTGGAAATGATGGTAGGTCATGCTGACAAATTGAGTGAAATGGTTCAGGAAGGTTTAATAGGCGAAAGATCGAGCAGAGCATCATCGCGGCGGAGTAGTGACATTAAAGGTTTACATTCTCATTTACTAATATAATTCAGTATTGCTTGGCTATAATATTCGAAATAGCATGTTTTTTGTATTTCTACAGCATTTGAAATTCATGATCTTTTTTGAAAATATTGTAAATTTCATAGTTTGGATGAATGATATTTATGTTTTACAAAAAGGATATCTTGAAGATGAAGATGCTGCAAGTTTTTCAACCGATTCGGATGATATTTCAATGTCGGATGCTGAAACAGGAGATGGAAATGTCGAGGAGGAAATGCAAGGATTGGTGGCCGAAGGGAATCTTGAACTTGATGATTTTCTTGACTCAGTATGTTTCTAACTTGTAAAATGCTGAAAGTTTAGAAAAAAATTGGTGGCATATATCAAAGAAATGAATTGATGTTAAATAATGTTTTTTTTATGAATCATTTGTATTCTGTATGAAATTATATATACCGATGAAGTGTGTATTGAGTTATATTCTCAGAATACTTTAGTGTTTGGTAAAATCATATTAGTCTGTTTGTAGACAAAAACATCCGTAAGACAAAGAATTATGCTGAATATTTCTAATTTCAGCTACCACATGAGTATCTAGAAGGTCTTTCAAAATCGGAACAGCGGCCGGATTTTTTTGAGCCTACACAGGGTACATCTGTTGATTATAAACGTCCTGAAGGAAGCGAGGTATCTACTGAATACACAGCATCGGAAATCACACAAGGTATTTATCATAACGGTTCTGTATTTGTTTACTTTTGGGAGTTGAATTTTTTATCCCGCTTATGTTTTCTATGGATTTAAAACATTCGTTTTTAAAATTCATCGAATTTTATTTCAGAAGAAGATTCGACACGTCATAGTGCATCTATTACGCAAAGTATTTCATCAGTGTCAGAAAAAGAAACTCTTGATCCTACACATACAGAAAATGCAGAAAAAGGCGCTATAAGCGCTGCGATAAATTATGATCGGTTGACATCAGAAAATAGCGAAGAGCGACAAAAAGAGTTAGCAAATATTGCAGAGGAGGCTTTGAAATTTCAGCCAAAAGGATTCACTTTAGAAACGACACAAGTGAAGACGGAAGTACCGCATCTGGTTAGGGGTGCGTTGAGGGAATATCAAATGGTTGGTTTGGATTGGTTAGTGACTTTATACGACAATGGCTTAAACGGCATCTTAGCTGATGAAATGGGTTTAGGTATGTAGTTTTCTAATTTTTTCAAACCTTTTTTTTAAATTTAAACTACTTAATTCTTTCATTTCGCAAAAACTTTTTCAAAAATTTTAGGAAAAACGATACAAACGATAGCGCTGCTTGCACATCTGGCATGCAAAGAATATATTTGGGGTCCACATCTTATTATTGTACCAACATCAGTGATCTTAAATTGGGAAATGGAATTTAAAAAATGGTGCCCAGCTTTCAAATTACTCACTTACTTTGGTAATCAAAAAGAGCGAGCTGAAAAACGGAAAGTTCGTAAATTTTTTTGCTTTTCACATTCTAAGAAAAATCTTTGTCTGTAGTTTGATCAAAAAATTCTATTGTTAGGAGTCTCATAAGCGATTGTGTCTGCTGTTACAGCACAGCTTAATTATTCGTATCAGAAGTAGGCATTAATAATTGTTTCATAATTATGGCAATTGAGATTTTTCAGGGATGGTCCAAAACCAATGCTTTTCATATTTGCATTACTTCGTACAAAATTGTTACTCAGGATATTCGGTCATTTAAACATAAAACTTGGCAGTATTTTATCCTGGATGAGGTAAAATTTATTTTATTGTAAATAATATTCGTAGAAGGCTTCGATAGACATATTGTTTATATCACTGAAGATTACTGAAGAGATACCAAATTCCATTACCTGTATTTTTAGTTTGAAAGTACATTCTTCCTTACAGGCACAAAATATCAAAAATTTCAAAAGTCAACGTTGGCAAACGTTGCTCAATATCCGTGCTCGTCGTCGTTTACTTTTGACGGGTACACCACTACAGAATTCTTTGATGGAACTTTGGTCTCTTATGCACTTTTTGATGCCAGCTATTTTTGCATCGCATAACGATTTCAAAGACTGGTTTAGTAATCCTCTAAATGATATGATGGAAGGTAATACAGAATGGAACACTCCTCTAATACAGAGACTCCATAAAGTACGTAGGTTTCAAAAAAATTTTAGTTTTTAAAAAAATTTTTTTTGAATAACTTGTACAGTGTGCTACCATTATCACATTGTAATGGTGGGACATTCTCGATGCTTGATTGCACATATTTCCAGAAGCTTTATGTAATTTGAGAATTTATCCTGCATTTGATTAAGTAAAACAAATTGGTAGGAATCTAAAAAGCAAGTTGTATTCAGTGATTTGATGATTATTTTACTTAGCTTGTATATGGTCATTTCCGACTTATAGGTTCACATCTACAACTGGAACTATAAATAATCGAATACTTTGTTTTGGTAATCCTCAAGTTTCTATCGTATAGATTACTTTTATGATTAGACACGAAAAAAAAGTGGTTTTCCAGATTACAGTTCTATGTGAGGTTTAAAAAAAATTTTTTTTCGAAATCGATTGACTTTGAAGCTTTGTAGGATAACTTTTAGGTACTCAGGCCATTTATTTTACGACGTCTGAAAAGTGACGTAGAGAAACAGTTGCCAGAGAAGACGGAACATATAATCAAATGTCCTTTATCGAAGCGACAGCGATGCCTTTATGATGATTTCATGTCCAGGAGATCGTAAGTTCTCTTTTCGTGTCATTTAAAATGGAAAAAAGTGCCATAACTTATGGAGCGTACAGATTAATTTAGATCTCTATAGTTGTGACATTTGTTAATACTAAAAACACATTTTACATTTAAACGTTACCGTTCCTGAGACCTTTATACTTCATAAATTTTGTGCTGTATTGTATGTTATCAGTTGAGTTCAGAAGTTTGTTAGATTGTGAATTTGAAAAGTTTGGCAAAATAATTTAAGCAGCATCTTGAATTTGTCAGGAATTCATCTTAAAGCTCAATGTGGTATCACAAAGTAAACAGAATATCCAAGTGAAATCTGTCAATATTATCGTTTATTTATGAGTAATAACCCTGAAGCTTCAAATATCTCAGCTGATTACAAATTTTTTCCTTTAGAACGAGAGAAAATTTGCGGTCAGGTAGTGTCATGTCAGTATTGAACATTGTTATGCAGCTCCGGAAATGTTGCAACCATCCGAATTTGTTTGAGCCGCGACCGATATTATCACCTTTTGTGACGCGACATATTACTGTTACTTTGCCGGGTATATTGTTGAACATTTGTCAAGGGTTAGTAATTTTTCAAGTTTTTTTTTTTTTTTGTATATACATATTTCGATGCAGATTATTCATTCATAGTTGGAACATTCTCTATTATTTTATTTCGGAATTTCAGAATGGACGTCGAAGAAACGGATGTTTTAGATCTCTTCAAAATTTCACCTTTTTGTGGTTCTCACTTTGCATACAGCGAAGGACGTCGTTTAGCTATTAATGAGCAAATGTTGAATGATCATCTTTCAAGACCAGTGGATATGCCATTGCCAAACTTAGGAGGGTTTCATTTCTCGCGACCGCCACCAGTGAGTACAATCATGTTCTCCCAATTCATTTATTTTAATAAAGTCACTGTTATTGTGCAATTCACAACGATTACGCTTTTCTACTGCTTGTTTCATTTCACTTCGTTGAAGAATTATCAAATAGGCAAATTAAATCTTCAATTCTATGAAACTTGTAAATTACAGCAGCTGCATCCACAACCGCAAACGAGGGAAGGATCAAAAGTTTTCATGCCAGTTCCGTTGCCGGCAGCAGGTGGGAAAAAACATTTTAAATTCTTTTAGAAGTTGTATTTTTTCATAATACAGACATCAGGCACCAGATCGGACTAATGTTAACAAGTTGTAGCCCACAAATTTCAATAAGTATGATAATATCGATGTTATTAAATATCAAATGTTCACTTTTCATCAAGTACCAGAGTGTTAATACTTTTTCATTCTTATCCTCTACTTTTTCAGGCATCCCACGGGGGAATGAGCTGTATGTTTCGGTCGATGATCTTGGGAATGCGCGAGTTTATCAACTAGTATGCTTTGTTGTGTTTAAATTTCAAGAAGAAATCTTTTGCGATTTTTATTAAATAAATATATCTGGAGTTTTAGTTTTTTTTTTTATATTTCTAATTCATAATATTTTACAGGTGGTTGATAGTACTGGTGGTCATACAGTTCGTGAATGTGAGCCAAGTTCTGTAGCTGGCAGTCGTCTTTTAGTTTCTAGTGCAACAACTTCGCAGAATACTACTGTTACTTCTGTTAGGACATTATCTGGGACTCCGACGCAACCAATAATGCAAGCATCATCAAAACTTTTGTCGGCGAAACAGAGTACGGTCGAACCAACAACTACATCGTCACCTACAACTGTTCCATTGCTCAAAGTAAGTTGCTTTTAAATTTTCACAAATTTTAATTCGTCTTGATAACTTTTGGAGTTTTGACTATTTCAAAAAATTTTCCAATCTCTTGCGGAGATTTTTTCTATAAACCGTCGATTTCAGCCAGTGTTTCGTTCCACAACGATTTTGTCACAAACACGCTCTTCAACCGATGCTTGTGCAAAGAGTACCGGGACGGTGAACAATGGCTGTACATCACTTCCTGAATCTCATATTGCTGCAACCTTCCCGGTATGCTACTCAAAAAATATGCGAAACAGTCCATAATGTGTTTCTCTGTCTGTTTTGGCCATTATTTGTATCTTGTAAGTTGCTGAAAGATAGTTTAGATCGTTCATCACTCCTTTTTCTACTTACGCAGCTTTTAGTTTTTCACATGTATGAAACTGAGTACTTGCATTCAGTTAACAATGATATCAGACTAAAATTTTTTGTGACTTCCAGATAAGTCGGGCACAACAAGTAAAGCTATTAGAACCGGAATCTGCTAGTGTTGGTACGGTGGACACTGCGGCTGGTAACCGAGATCAAGTTGAGACGATGGAGGTTGAAGTGAAACCAGTCATAGCTGCAGAACAAACTACTGAAAAACCAGACTTATATGATTTCCTTGTTCTGGTAAGTACATAAATTTATTTAATAATTGCTAATCTTTAACTCATCTATCTAGACAAGTCGTGCTTTTATTAGAACTGAGAAAGTTTTAGTTTAAAATAGCTTTAGTTTTGCTTTCGTATTGCCTGTATAAAAATTAAAAATCTGCGCTATTACCGTGTATATGAGTAGTAGCGTAAAACCTCATTTTTTCCTGGCATCTTTTACTGTTTCATTTCTTCAGGCATTTGTTTAAACTGTGTGATTTTCTCTCCATACTATTTGAATTTGTTTCTTATGTATTTTAAATAAATTTGTTAATTAAGCTTGGATTTTCAAAATATCAAACAAAGATTAGCTATATTCATTTTTTTAAGCCAGATACGTTGAAAACTATGGAACAGATAAAGGTAGAAAGGTTGCAACGCTGTGCGGCAATTTGTTCTCGACGTTTATTATTCCCAAATGTTTGTCGCACGCCGTTAGTATCAGATGAATTATTATTTGTCATCAAGAAGGAACTAGGCCAGAAGAAACGTCATCGTAATTTTTCAACAACAGGTATGCAGATATTGTATTTCTTTTTGTATGAAAAGATATCACTTTCAAATTTCTTTGTTATGGAGAATATTTAATTTGGCGTGTTCTACAATTACCGTTCTAACTATGGATTTATTACAGATTCGTTAGGATGGTTGACACAATCGCTGGTTGATTGGACTATTGATGCATCACAAAGGTAAAGCTAATGATCTTGACATTTTCATTTGTTTTTAAGAAATTAAGCGAATTCATTCTCTTCGGTGTCGAGCAAAGCACTGATCATTGTATAGCAAATTTTAGCAGGTGTTTTCGAGTGTATAATTTTTGGAAAAAAATCCAGATGATAAATACGTCAATTTGCTCAGTTTGTGGATATATCGTAAATTACTGGAAGATAAAATAGCCCTCATTACATCTTGTAAATTCCAGGTTCACTGTTTTCGTGCATGGCGCTCTAACAGATGAACCTGTTTTGCAAATTAATACTGCTGGATGTCACGCCTACATGCGAAAAGAATGGGATGATTTGAATGAAGAATGTCATCACGTAGTGTTGGATTCTGACAGATTGTTTTCTTACATAGATATGATGCAAAAGCTCCAGTTTCCTGAATTGCGCTTAATTGAATATGATTGTGGTGGGCGTTGCTTTTTCTTAAGTTTAACGGTTATACATATACATCCTTTTTATATATGTCTACTATTTATGTATTAATCTTCCAGTTTTCAGATATCGATTCGTCTATTATTTTTAACATTATTAAGGTTAACTTTACTACTCCATAAGAAAATTTCAGGTAAACTGCAAGTCCTAAACAATCTATTGCGTGATCTCTTCCTATACAAACATCGTTGTTTGATTTTTACACAAATGGCACGGGTTTTGGATATCTTGCAAGCTTTCTTATCGTTCCACGGTTATCAATATTTTCGATTGGATGGAACGACTGGAATTGAACAGAGACAGGTAACTTTTTTGTTACATTATTGATACCATCAGTTCTTTTTCTGTTTAGCAGAAAACTGCTTCATTCCAGAAAGTTTTAAACTTCTGGCCCATTCATAGTCCATAGAAGGAAAATTAACTGCTCTACCGAAGTATGTACTTCTCATTTAACAGTGGGCAGTATATGATGACAATTGCTTGGAGAAAAATAGAAATAACAAATGAATGTAAAATTTACTGCTTATTTGAAAAGGACAAAATATAAAAATAAGAAATGTTCGAATGAAAAAAGAGAAATGAAAACAAAACAATTTTAGAATTTTAAATCTGCGGCACGTAGTATATTTTTAGGCAATGACGGAACGCTTCAATGCAGATCCAAAAATATTCTGTTTTATTCTATCAACTCGATCAGGTGGTATAGGTGTTAATTTGACTGGTGCAGATACGGTAATTTTTTATGATTCCGATTGGAATCCAACGATGGATGCACAAGCTCAGGATCGTTGTCATCGTGTAAGTTATTCTTTCACGTTACTTATTCTTCAGTAATAAACACATTGATGACAGCAGTGCAGATGTGAATAGCTTAAAATTAGCGATTATCAATGAAATTTTGGATAAATCTGAAAAATTTTTTAAAATTTTTGGAGCATTATTTTAATAAACTTTTGCTTTTAGATTGGACAGACGCGAAACGTCACAATCTACCGTTTAGTTAGTGAGCGAACAATTGAAGAAAATATTCTGCGAAAAGCAATACAGAAACGACGTCTCGGTGAAATGGCCATTGACGAAGGGGGATTTACACCGGAATTTTTCAAAGGTGATAATGTGAGAGACTTGTTCGAAGGTGTTGCAAATATAGCCGACGTCGTTGCTCCAGTTGCGGTGGCAGATAATAAAGAAATTGAAAAAGTACGTCTTTGCAGTTGAAATTATTCAATTATGGATGGATTATCTTCATTCTTAGCACAATTTTTTGCATTTTAAATGCAGTGTTAGAATAGTCATAAACTCTGATTATCGCTCATTGCCAAGAAATGCACTAATTTGAATCACATGAACAGTGGTGGTATGCTTTATGATGAAGTGTTTTTTTAGGCTATGGCAACGATTGAAGATATACAGGATGTTCATGCAGCACAACGAGCAAATGCTGAAGTGGAAGCAGATATTGCGGAGTTCGATGAAAATACTCTAATAGCTTCCGCTGAGAACAGTCAAGAAAAAATTGAATCCAAATATTTAGAACTAATAAATCAGGTATGTTATAATTTTTCTCTGTTCTTATTCATTCTAATTACAGTTTAGTGATTGCCAGTAGTATCGATTTCTTTTTGATCGCTTGGGGAGGTAAAGGGCGTTCTAGTAGCACCGCAGTACCAATATGCTGAATTATCCTTTCAGGTTTTGGGAGTTTTTTTCTGTAATTAAAAATTTATCCACAGTAATGAGTAGGGTGTTAAATAGACAAATATCACGATAGTGATTAAATCCGTGTAAATCACTAAGTCACATGAGTTCTATCAAAAATCAAATTTGAAAGCTTTTCCCAGAACATTTTTAAATATATGCATTATATAGAATGAAATTTCTATCAGGTTTCTGTCTTTTCAGTTAAAACCAATCGAACGATATGCAGTCAATTTTTTGGAAGCAGAATACAAACCAGAATTTGAAGAAGAAGTAAAAGAAGCCAAGGTATGCGATTTTTTTTCACGTATTTCGGATACTACCAGTAGTGTCGATTGTCGGTGTTTAGTACCATGCATATTCCAAATGCTGTTAGCAGTGAGTGATGGTGGAGAAATATGAATATTTGTCAAAATCAGCATCAGTCAGCTTTTTAGGAAATAAAATAATGATAATCTTTACTTGCACAAAAATGAGTTATTTTGTCTTGGGTATTATAATTTTATGTTTCTTTTTGCTGAATTGTTTATAGTTCCGCTTTGCCATTGATAACTGTAGTTAAACCGCCTAGATCTTCAAAAAATGTGTCAATTGCAGGCTATGATTGATTCGAAGAAGGATGAATGGATGAAAGCCCAAGAGGATGCAATGGAGGAAGACAATGGCGAACAGCAGAGCGATGATGAGATCTCGTTGACATATCTTACTGGATTCGATGTTCCTGGTTCTGTGGATGAGGTACGCTCAAAAGCATCGGCATCACGTTTAGCTACACTTAGGCCTCAGTTGCATAAACCATATTCACATAACTTACGTTCAGCATTCTCTGCGTTGAAAACACGTTCGTCTCCACGTCTTGTTCATACTAAGACGACGCATCCTATGTCGGAAAATGCGACTACTATTAAAACAGTAGTAACTAATTTGCGCAAAACGACGGATGAAATTAATACGCAAACTCAATCCGAATTTGAAAGTAATCCGTCGTCATTAGTTTCGAAACCGCAACTCAAATTCCATCCGCAGAAGTTATCGACCGAGAAGCTACCTAAAACAGCGCAATCACGACAAACGAGGCCCGGTGTAAAGGAAAGTTCTTGTGCAAGAGTCGTTCCACTTTCAGTTGCTTTTACCAAAGCAGCAACTGCAACGCATTGCATATCTAGTTCCATTCATACATCAAATTCTCCAGTTTCATCTTTTAGTAATCCATTGTTTTCATCATTACCGTCAACTTCTTCCAGTTCTAGGACTTCATCAAGGACCAACACCTTTACTAGTTTTTCACCCTCACTCTCAGCCTCTTATCCAGTTTTGGAAGGGAACAGGACGTTGCTGATGCGTCGTCAAACATTTCCGTCGTCATTTGCTGCAAGTTCATGTGTGTCATCGCAGCAGCTGCATGCTTCTGCTGGCCCTTCGAAATTTTCAGCGCAGACAACTGTGATAAGAAGAAGATGTGAAAGTGGGAGTTTCGAATTTTTGAAACCAATTTCTTCTGCGCATAAGGCTTCAAGCCATCATCAGTCGTTGCCGGGAATACGGATAAAACCAACACTGGGCGACTATGAACGGCCTAGGTTGTGTTTGCGAAAACGTGGTGAATCAAGGAGTGACGAAGCTGAATCTTCTTCCACTTCGAATACGGGTTCCGAAAACGTTGCAGAATCTGGATAATCTTTCCTTGAATAATCATGTTAGAGGAGTGATGACAGTGGTGCTTTTCGAAGGTTTGTCCGGTGTCTAATCAATTGTTTGTGAAATCGTCGTTCGGAGTTAGTCGCTTAGGGGAGGTGAATATGAAGGCTTATCAAGATTTTTAAAGCTCAGAATCTTTTATACCTTAAAAAATTCCGAAGCGAGCAATTTAGAACATATGTCGCACGTAATAATTGCTAATCATTATTAATAAATGAAGTGTCACTTGTTAACAATGACTGGTAAACTATAGCATGCGGCATATGTTATACGTGTAATTCAATACAAATCTCAAAGTTTAGAAAAATTTATGAAAGTTTTTTTTGCTCTTACATTGCCGTTTCATTGATTTGTGATATTGAATATACACACCTACGGAAATTTATTTGCTCATGTATTGTTAGTTGTGTATTTTGAGAAACCTTGCTATATTTTAAAGCTTTTGTTCGTTTTTGACATGTTTAATTTTTTTTGTTGAATATTTAAGAAAAAATGCATTTGGAAAAAATGTTTTGTTTTTGCATTTTCGACTACACACCTGTGAGGCCTTGCTCTGATTAAAAGAAAAAGGAAAGAAGTTTCACATGTTCCACGCTTGTGAGGCCTTTTCATTAGACTTGAATTTTTCTGAAATTTAATATCCAAAAGCTTGTGCCCTTTTTAGTGTTTGTTATGATAATGTGAAGATTGAAAAGAAGGAGGGAAGATTGTGAAAAATCATGCAAATGGCTTCTCAAGTGTGTTGTCGAAAAGATGAGAGAAAGAGCAAGGTTTCACAATAGTCATAACGATACAATCTATGAGTGACATAAATTTTATATAACATGCGGGAAGAAGGCTTAAATTTCTCCCTTTTTCCACTAACACTTTAAACTGCTGGGAATTGTGCGTTAAAGTAGTTTGTGGAAAATTATATCAATGTGCATTGTTAGAGTTGAGTAATATCTAAAGTAACTGACGTGAAAAATAAGTCTTCTAGAAGAGAAAGGATTAAAAGATTGCGGGAAAGGGGAGTGATTTTAAAGTATCGAGTTTTCGAGATTGATACGTTTCACCAGAGCAAGCAATCCGCTATGTTTTGAATGTAAGTGGTTATCTTGAGACCACTGTTAGGGTTCATAGATTGTCGTCGGAACGAAAACTGGCATAGAAAGTGATTGTTACTGATCGGAATATAATAATCATTAATAATCAGAGGATGTAAAATGAGTCTAAAAATTAAAGAGAGACAGTATATGCAGGTTATTTCTATAGCAATCAGAGAAGGTTCCGCACTCATATGATACGAAATTTTTGGTGATAGCATAACTTACTTGGATTCTGCAAAAGACCTTAAGTTATTAGTCATTAAATCATTTAAACATTCATTTGGCTAGCTGTAGCTATTTAAATATAGAATAGTCTAAGATGTCCAATAAGAGATATTAGATGAATCAGAATGAGAATAATTTGCAGCATTATGTTTTTTTTCGCTTAATCTACTGGTACTTGAAATAGTGTTGAAAAAATATTTGAAAAAAAAATGCGAGTAGTTGAAATAACATTTTGAAGTTGAAAAACATAAGTCTATATTAAAACTTCTTAAATTGATAGAAATATCTAGAAATATATAGTGCCATAATTGATAGAAATATATAGTTATAAATTGGAATTGAAATTGAAATTCCAATTGGAATCACTGAACTCATTTCAGATAATCTGCTTGGACATACCTGGCGAGCAAATGCTGGTATGTTATTATATTAATTCTTTGCTTACTTATCTGTTTCATTCTATTCGTATTATGTAGATTTTGCTAAGATTTTCCGAAATGAACATTATAGACACGCTAAAAAACATCGAAAGTTTATATAAAACCTTTCAGACCTGGCTACCGCCTTCACCTCCACCCTCTGATAGTGGTGATGATATTTACTATGATTCAACCGGTGAATACTGGTTTGAGCAATTACCAATGGCTGAATGCCGTTTACCAAATACAATTCATGAGCTTCATCGGCCTCGACCACTTACGCCGACTTCATCACTCGTTCCGGAACAATTTGTACCGGAAATTATAGTTCCACTATCAATACCATATCAAATGGCACCAGGTGCAATGCCACCAAGTGTTGCAATGCCACCAATTGTTGCATTACCTCCATCACCAACTGGCATGTGTACTGGTTAGTTTCTTATTTCTTTAAACTAAGAAAATTTACTTGGAAACGACTATCAATTACACGAATGTAAAGTAAGTTTATATGAGTAAAAATCGGAATTTTTTAATAAATTGCAGTAGCTAGTGGTATTGTCCGTGATATTATATCTTCTCCCACTGCATCGCTTTCATCAGTTTCTCATGAACGTGGTATCAATTTAATACCTCAAACAGGTGTATCATCTGGTGCTGCTTACCTTGATACATCAAATCTGTTAAGGCCTGCTACACCTTCACGTTTACCCGGTTCTGTTGATGGTATGTTATGTGCTGGATAAATTCTTTGAATTTTTCCAATTTAATTAAAATTGTTTTCAGTCAGTTTATTTCTTTTAATGAAAATTCTCAATTCAGTCAGACTTTGTTCTGAAAACTTACATTTCTGTGTTGATCTATTTAGACGCAATTGATAGTGTACGAAAATCAGCACAAAAAGCATTATCCATCCAGGGAACGCAGAGATCTCAAGCTGGAAGGTAGGAATTTTGATTTTATATTTCAGTGCAGGGAATTAAGGTAGATAATATTCTTTAACTTTGGACTTCTAAGTCAGTTCCAATCAGTTCCAAAATTATCAATATTTGGAAAATAGAAACATGTTCTGACGTCATACCTTCATTTCAGTTAGAGGGGAAAGCAAGTTATAGAGATTCACTTCGATAATTTAAAAAAAGTATAAGTTTTGGATAGATTGATAAAAGCGTGAATTAAATGAAAAATATAAAAAAAATATATTTAAATGGTTTCATGCATTTAAATCATTTTAATCATGACTTCATTTAGCGGTCGTCATAGTTTGTTTGACAGTCGCTGTGGAAAAACTGAGTTGCGGCGTCCATTCACACCACCTCCACGATATCGCGAAGCAATCGATTACGATGGGTCGGAATGGAGTATTGCGGAAGACTATGAGGCACTTACGGTTATATTTAGATTTTTTCCGTATTTTTTTTTTCGGTATCTTATTTGGAAGGAGAATTATTATAGTGCGCGATTTTAGATTCTAACTGAATTGCAACGATTGCCAAATCATTTGCATTCACCAAAAATTGGGCAGTATGCAAATTGGGACATGGTATCGATTTTATTGGCTCCATTATCGGAAACCTATCGGTAAGTTTCTGTATCTATTGAATTCAAAAATTTTTCATAGCATATAGGTTATTTTTCTTGTTAATCTAACTCTTTCGCAGTAATCCGTATGTAGATATAAACAGCATTCCCGATAAACAAAAATTAAGAAACACTTTGAATTAAATGAGCTTGTCAAGCAACTTTTACCTTTACATGGTCTCTTGATATTACCATAGTGAAGGTCTTTTTTCCTTATCTCTTCCAAAAAAAATTATTTATTCTTCATCCTTGTAAAAAAAATATATCCATTAAGTTCACCGCGACAATGCTCACTACATTATCAAATGGTTGTGCAGCCGCGTGAGGAGGGACGTATGGTCACGCTAGATCCAATAACTAAGAAAACACGGAGAGTTCCCCTATCAACCGGAGAAATGAGTAAGTTGCACAAATAGCATGTTTTCATGTTATTGCTAAATTAATGTCTTAATAAAGTTTTGGTTGTCATTCTTGCAATTTTAACTTAATGAAGTTTTTGAAACTTCGGGTATTATAAAATATAAGCTTCTTTTTAGATCTAAAAAAATTTTTGATTTAAATAGTTTAAAATAGAATTGTTATGAGTATTCAAAAAAAAAACATCAAATTGATCAGTTGTGGAGTTAAGCAGTAACGGAGAAATAATGGTTACTGATTTGCTAAATATGAATTTTCATAGAGTTTGAATTAAATGTAAAGTTTTATTGGCAACTGTTGCACATATGTCAATTTGTAGTTCATATGAAGCGTGGACGTACGAAAACTGATCAGCAATACTTAGCGGACATCCTCAAACTTGTGTCAAGTCAATACGATAAAAAATTTAAAGCACTGAAAGCAGCATCACTAAAGCAAACAGTTTTATTCCGTCCAAAAACGAGTAATTTTGAAATAATTTTTGACGAAAACCTTAGAGCTATATTTCATTTCAACTTTGACGAAATTTAAACCAACATAAGAATATCAAGAGTATCCTACTATTCCACTTCTACATATGCTGTACTTTAATCTGAGTAGGATTTCAAGACTTTTGTAAAGCATAATACTTACAGCTGATGACAGTGTGGAAAAATGGTGTCCATTACAATCTCAAGAATTGAAATTTGCTGAACTGGGGATACGTTACGATGCTACAACAACCTGTTCTGCAGTAGTTGATTATCGTAATGAACGGCGTGAGAAATTACGTGAGCAAGATCGAGAACGTTCGCGCTTGAAGGAAGAGGAGGAGCAAAAGAGAGAAGCAATGGTTGGTTTGTTGAAGTTATTAAGGAAAACCTTCCATATTGAGGCATACTCACTTTGGGTCAGTGAGATCATATTAGTTCTAATTTTGGAATAACAGGATTTGACACACTATAATGTTCTGAGTTTCAAGATTTCACTTCCACTAAAGTGGAGAAAGATCTTAAAAACTGCAGTTGATAAATTAATGTAAAAATGAAGCATTTTAATCATAATTTAGGTTTTCGAACAGCAACGTAGTCATGAACAGAAATTAATTCGTAAGGAATCGGCAGTTAGTGCAATCCCTGGTGTTATACATTATCAGAAAGTAACTTATGGAGCTGTCATGGAGCATGCACAGCAACAGCTTTCGGCTTCTTCAGTACCAGTAATAAGTGCCCCGGTTGTCTCGACTGTGAGAACATATAGTTAGTTAACAGTTCTTTTTATTTTTCCCATTTTTTTTCAGGGATTTATATTATATTTTAAATGCATTCGCTATTTGATGCTTGCAAAATGTTCTGTTTAAGTTGTAAATATGCGTAATGATATACAAATATTGTGTAGTCACTAAGTTGAAATTCAGTGTTCATAAAGCGGTTTTTGCGCCTTTTCGTTTTGTTCCTTATGGAAAAGCTATCCTTTTCGTCAAAATGGCCTTTTTGACTGTTTTACAGCTTCTGGTGGTTGTGTTCAAAGTCAGCTTGTCAGCAATATATCTGGACAGGGTATGGCATATGCAAGTGATGCGCCTCAAGTAATTGTCAGCCAACGAACTTATGTTGACCACCCGCAGGTGGTAGGTGATTTCTAAATTTGAATGATTATATGATTCATTAATTATTAGTGTTTGTTTGCTTAACGAATATATTTTTAAATGCTCTTATATTATTCTTCGAAACAAAATTAGATGTCCAAATTTTTAAATATGGAATGCTATTTGAAATGAAAAACAAAAGAGTATCCCCATTGTACAGAATGAAGGGTTGCGGTGGATATGCACCGGGTGCTAAATTTTTATATTTCTTTTAAACAGAAGAATTGTCGTACTGTCAGTTTATATGTATTAAGGTTTATAATTATTTCGATTTTCATAATTAGCTATGAACTAAGAAGTTGAAGTTTTCAGTTTCCGAAATTCCAGGCTGTATCCGGTGCTGCACCTGGTGCTCACCAGATCAGTACTCGACGTGTTGCAATTTCGGTTGGTTCAGGAACTTCATCTCAACATCAGATCATTATGACAGGTGGTACACAAATGGGATCATCTGGTGGCCAACAACCTTATGCTGTTGTTGTTAATTCTCAAGATACTGTAAGACAATATTTATTTGTGGAATAACCTTTTTTCATACCTGAATATTATTACTTTTTTGTATACTTCTGTTTTCTTTTGCATTAATAAAAACATTCCCATAGTGAAATATTTTTGCTTTGACTTTTAGCTGACTGGACAGCAGCTTGGTAGTCGCTTTCAGTACACAACGCGACAAGAAGGTGTGGGTGAACGGCAGACTGTTTATCGAACAATACCGTCAGCAGGAACAAAAAAAGGACTTTCGGCACCTACTACACAAAGGGTTAGCAAATATTTATGACAAATAATTATTTAAATTCATTTTCTCTAGTCGGAGGCAAGATCTAGACAATTTTCACTTGACCTTTAACATCGGTTGAAATGTCTTCGTTTGATAACTTACTTTGACGATTTACTCTGCTTTTTTACATTTGTGTTTTGCATCAGTAGCTTTGCATTGAGTGAAAAATGGAATAATTTTTTGCTAATTTTTTAGATGCTATAAAAATTCCATTATTGAATTGGTATGTGATTTATCCCATATTTTCCTTTCAAATGATTTTTTTTCAGCAAAAAATGTTCCAGATTGCGACCGGATATGGAACATCTCCGGAAGCACAACAGCAAATATATGCAACTACGTCGCATGCTGGACGAACATTGATTATGTCTCAGGGAGATACTTCACAGCTGGGCGAAGCGAGTCAAATACAAATGATTCGTCCACAAATCCAAACTGGCGGAATATCTATGCGACAAGATACACGGTCTAAAATAAATCAGCGTACACCGGTTACTTGCTATTTCATATTACACATTTATCTTTTTTAGATGAAATCTTTACTTACTTTCTTAATATTTCATGGGTATATGGAATTAATAAACCTCTAAATTTGAGCTAGTTTTTTAGTGATGTGCAGCAATAAAAGTTTTTGAAATTGATTTTTATTGATTCCTTTTCATACTATGCACTTTAAAAATTTTCTGAAGTGCAGAGTTTTTACTTAAGGTTTTTAACTATTAATACAAATGTCGATTTGAAAAATAAAAATTTTTTTCATAACAGGGTCGTTTATATGTCACAACAGCTGCTGGTGATAGAACTTACTTGATGCCGCAATCACAGGTACGAATGATGCCTGGCGGACAACGAATTACATCAAAACGTACCGCCGGAGCAATACATACGAAAACAATTGGTGGACAACCTCAGGTATTTTATTATAAATTGTCAATTGTAGTCAAAATTTGAATCCCTGAAATTTAAATTAGAGTATCAATATCAAATATAAATAAGGGCTGTCATTGTTCGATTGGTGACAAAGTTAAAAATCAAATATCAGTGAGATAAAGATATTAGATAAAAAATTGTATTTGATTTTGCAGGTTGCTATGATGCTACCACGTGGGAGTCCCGTGCAACAGATACGAACAATACCGTAAGTTTGTAGCAAAATTTCTGCCGAATTTGCAAAGCTACCCATTTTTTAAATTATCATTGCTTAATTATTGATGGTCAAGATTATTGGTAGTGCTGAAAAGATGAAAATCTGGGAAAGTTTTAAACTTCAGTACTTTAATTTAATCTAATACTAGAAGTTGAAATTATATTATTCTTCAAACATTTTTCGGTTTCTGTAGCGAATTGGAAGTACCAAATATTATGAAAGAAAATAATTGTTAGTAATTGAAGGCGCAGTATTGGTTATCAGAGCTCTCGAGTTCCGTCAATTGGATTAGTCATGAGCGGTAGTTCAAGAAGCAGTGAAAATGTCACTGGTTCTGCGACAAGTAAGCAGTTATCGACTACCGGTGATTACACAATTTTTGGATCTTATTACTGATGATTAAATGATTAAATATAATTAGTGTTAATAATGATTGTAGTTCAAAATGAGTTTTGTAGCAAAACTTGCAGAATCTATTTGAGCTTATATCGTGTTTTATCTTTTGTATTTATTATGATTAAGCGCTTTATTTTTGAAATGCAGAAAATATTTTGAATTTAGTTTTAGAGATACTATTTGAATCTTAAGTTCAAGTGAAAATAGGAGGGGGGAGTTCTTATCTATTTTATAAAATCTGTTTTATTATTATCGTATTGTCTTTCCTTCAATGTTATGAATTTTAGGTGGAATCTCGCGGCAATCCATTTCGAGTGCTTCATCAAGTACCAGGCAGGTAACCGTCGCGGTGCAAGGTGTTGGCAGTGCGACTTCCGCCATATTACAAGGTGTTCTTATAATTTCAGATTTTCATCCTCTTCATTCAAGTTGAAGGTGAAAATTAGTCAGTGAAATTAGCAACTATCTAATGGAAGATTTCTCCATTTAATCGCTGTTTAAATAAGAAAATGCCAACTCGAATGTAGTTCGGGTTGGCATTTTTTTGCATTTTTATTTCTGATCTGAATATCTTGACAAATTTTAAGTATTTTAGATCATCCAGTGAGCATTCCAACCCAGCAAACACAATATCTACCGCCGATAACTCTTTCGAGTCAAGCCAATGTTCCGCAACGCTATGTAACATCGCAACCGCCAGGTGGTAGTGGAGGTGCATCTTCAGTTGGTAATGCTATAGCTGGAATGCAACCACCCCACACAGATATTTCATAAAGGCATTTATCTTTCATGCCTTACCCATCTATGGTAATTATGATTGTAATCATTAGTTCAAGTTAACGCTTAACCGTGCTTGTGCTTATAAAATTATCTTCATTGCTATTTAAGTTAACAATTTTTCCTGTAAAATTTTACATAATCGATAATTTTTTCAGTGAAATTGTAATATTACTCTATTTTTGTAGAATCGAAAGTTTCTAATGAAAATGCTTTTCAAAAACTGATCTCAGTAATTTATATTTTCCATTTACACTTTTATTTTATCTGCTTATTTCTATTTTTATTATGTAAAAAAGAAATCTTCCAATTTTAATCTGCATAAAATGCATTTTATCTGCCTCATTTATCAATAAACTGTTGCCTTCTAATATTCATGCAGATCGTTATTTATTTAGTGAATTTTCAAATAAGAATAATCAGTTCGTGTGCGGTAAGTGGTAAATGCTTGTATTATATTTTTTGTCCCTTTTTGTCATCAATGAATCATTTGTTAGCTGAAAATTGGTCTCATATTGTTGTTGCCAACTTCATGGCTAAGTCTAACATCATCTCATTATCAGAATTCTTGAAACTCTTCCTGTATGTTCCATCGATAGTTCATTTTGGATACTGGATTACTGGATTACTTGCCACCGCATCAATTTTCTTTCACTTTGAAATCTTATTTAAAAATTCTGATAATGACCGGTCCTATGTAAGACTATCGAATCTATCTGATCATTCTAAGCACGGGAAATATTGTTCAACGATCCTCTTTTGCTATGTAAAAAAGTAACAGTTCATTTTTAGGAACTTTTATTGAAAAAAGTTTTCATGTAATGTTTATCATTTATTGCAAATTGTATATGTACAGAAAAATTTTTTCTTCTACATTGTAATTTAATTGAATGAATGAAAAGTGATTACTTTGTTTCTTACTACTGTCATCCATTAGTATGATTTAAAAAAAAAAAACTAAATTACGCACGATGTGCATTAAAATCTCTTATGACATACTGTTTGAATATAAATAATACCGCTATTACAAATTATGCATTCATAACTGACTAATCAGGTCAATGCGCGGATTTGTTGTGGGATGCAAAAGTAGGTGATAGCAGTGTGATTGATAAGAAACTCGGGAATGATAATGTTCAATGGATTTAATAATATACTTAGGGAAATGTTAGTTGTATAAAGAAATTCGGTGTTAAATTGTTACTGATAGGGGAGGGGATGATGATGAGGTTCATGTGTTCATGCCCGTGATAATTTGGCAGAATCCATCGATCGAATTGTGCCAAATGATGTGATCTTTTAGACGAAATGCACACTGCAATGTTCTATGCATTTATCTTCTATAATGGTAGTCTGCTATCTACCGTATACAAGTACGTCCTATATGATATGAGATTGTTAATGTGATGGTACATTTCTGGCTTTCTATAATTTTTATAGATGTTTAACATTTATTTGCTGTTTTTTGTGGTTTTCAGTTAGTGGTGCTGTAAAAGCCAACGGATGTATATGTGAATGTGTGTCTGTGTGTATGGGGTGTATTGGGAGTGTACATCGTATGCTACCAGAGGGAACATCGAATAAGAAGTTGAAATTGCAATTACAGCTTACATTCACCTCAATTGCAGTAATCCAGAGAATAGACCCGATCTCCTCCTCTATCTTTTTACTTTCAATTTTCGGTGAAGACGAGAATGGACGGGCAAATCGACAGACACACGTACATACACATACATACACACACACACACACACACACACACACACACACACACACACACACACACACACACTCATCAACGGCTTGGTGATACTTCCTCCTGTGATGCCTGATTGGAAAGCCTCGAGAACCAACTCTCTCTCTCTCTCTCTCTCTCTCTCTCTCTCATTCTCCACTTTGATTGCTGTTTATTTTTCTCTTCGTTGCAGTAACAATTCTTAAAATGGCTGACCCGTAACCTCCTTGCATTATTTCAGATATCATTCCGATTTAATCAGTTATTCTAATTCTAACTAAATTAGTGAATGAAATTGCTAATATATGTATGAAGCTGAGAAGAGAGCAAAAACAGTTGCCGTACGAGAATTCCTCATCAGCCAACGAGCAGTAAATCCGGCACAATGATATGATTATATGGAGATGATTCATTCAATTATTATGTTGAAGCTGAATTATTCAATAATTTTGCACGAGACTATGTGATAATGAATCATTGAATCAAACCTGTAATTTGTCGTTACCTATGCGAAATTCTCACTGTATTACTACGAATATTCGAATTTCTGGTTTTAATTGCTGATCGGTTAGAAACTATTAATTAGGCACAAATGAATTAATACTTGAACTCATTGAAATGCAAAAATGCAAACGATTTCCGGTGTAATTATTGCTTAATGAGTCATCATCATGATGAAATTTTGTATTCCTCATCTGTTCCGTACTACAGCAGCTAATACACCCACACACACATACACACACCTCTCAGGTTTCGTTGTTCGGGACTGTCAGGTTTATTAGCAGAAGGGCGATAACGCTGCAATTCATCCTCGATTAGTTACATCATTTGTTGCATTTTACCCATAACAGTTGAAATGTTGAAATTTTGCTAAAATTTTAAAATGCTTATTTCTCACACACCACTGAACTTCTATTTCTAACTAATGGAGCAAAATTTGCTCGATTGATCAATCGGACCTTTTCCAACGACATCAGTGATATTCTTTTTTGAAATATCGGTAATCGTGACGGTTTCTGTGATCATTCTACCTTTCTTTAAACAATTTAATTCAAAATTGTTAAAGTTTCATCTTGAAATTCATTTTAAATAAACTTTTACTTTTTGATTTTGAAGTTTTGTATACGATTTTATCCTTCTATACATTATAGCGGGTGAGGTAATCGTTTATCAACTGATAATAAGTGCTAGCAACAAACCTCATTTTAAAATTAATTTACATAATTTCTATAGCTGCTTAGTTATTATTGGGTCAGTTCCGTCCACCAGCTCTCGTCTCTTTTATCCCATATTACCCTTTAAATACTGCTTAATAAAGCTATGGAAGGGATATATTGACGTAATTGGATCACGTGTATGCATAATCTGTGAAATGAAACTATAAAGGCTAAAAGGTTTGACGTATTAAACGTCATCTTTGATAAGACTAAAACAATATGTCTGATTCTTTCCTCAGTTTAGTACATGTTTGATAAGACTTAACACGTACTAAATTGAGGAAAGAATCAGACATATGTTTTCTGAGTAAGTGTACATTCAAAAATTACTTGAGGGCGATATTTTAAAGGGAATAAAAATTTTCTTTTTAATCAACATTTCAATAAGTGCAACAATATGATTCTCTTTTTTTCACATTTGAATGCTTCTTCAAAATTTTCGAATTTTTAACTGAAAATTATCATTTTAATTTTTATCACGGTATATTTTTTGGAAAATACAAATTCACCTCTCAGAATATTATTTTAACATTAGACTGTAATTAAAACTTGATTGAAGTAAGACTTTTTTTAACATTTTGATGTGCTGAAAAACTTTTTTTTCGGATGTATAACTCATTTGGAATAAATTACGAATAAATTTTGCTTTTCGTTAAACGACGATATTCTATTTCCACAAGTGATTTGATTCATATCTGAAAAAATTATTGCAGCTAACACAATTTGGCCGAGATGGAAGATCGTTTGTTGACGGGGCCTGGATGGTGTCGTTTGATTTGCCTCTCGACAACGATTTTCGTTATTGCTGTGGCACAAGAATTTTCTACTGATGATGGTATTTCCCTTTCGCTTTTTTATAATTTAATTATTCGAATTTAATTTCAGATTTTAAAGATGTTTGTTATTCTTTGGGAAATTGCTACTGAAAAATTTGTTTGGATTCTGGGAAAGATTTGAATCCATGAACTGCTATATATATTACAATAAAATTAAATGTTAAAATTGGCATGTCACTCAAAAAACGACAAAGTATTTTTGAAAATTTTAATTTGTGGAGAATTTTGAACTTGAAACTATCTGAGATTATTTATTCATTTATTCATAAATTAAAATAAATTATTATTCACATAATCTGTGCAGGGCTTAATTTATTTTTTCATCTATCCAAAATATGACAATATTGTATTATCCTTTAACTTCAGTAGAATTACATACATAAAACAAATGTTTCGCATGAATGTTAAGGTTACTAACATTGCTATCGTTGAATTGAGATGATATTAAATATAATGAATTAAGTATTCATGTATTGCATTCAAGTGTTGCTTGATTGCAATCATGTACTGCTTAATGTTATTCTACATTTCACTTTGCTCTTACTGCATTTACAAAATATTGCTTTTTTTAAATTTAAAATACGTTTGTTTTAATTTTGATATGCTCAATTTTCTATTGCAGTAACATCGGAAGTGGTTGAATCAAAGAAAGATTTCCCATGCTATTCTTTATCTCGTGAGAATTACACATGCAGTGCATGCATTCAGTTTCACGATACATGCGCTTGGTGCAGTAAAGCAGTATGTTTTGGTTTGTTGTACTACTAACCAGTCTAAGTTATAATATGGCATATTATAATATTAGATCATTGCGGGTTAGTTCTGAAGGAAATTCAGTCACGCAAATTGTAGCGAATTTTTTCTGGAAGAATAAGGATATTGGTTTTTTTTTTCTCTAGGACTTCGACAACGAAAACCAACATCCACGATGTGATAGTTTGGAGCGACTTATTGAACATGGTTGCCCTGAATTTGAAATTGAAAATCCCAAAACAACAGTGAGAACAACCGAAGTTTGTTTGATTATTAAGGATCTTCAAAGTTATTCAGATTATTTTCGAGTGATCAATAATCCCCTGAGATATGAAATAGAGGCAAGAATTGGGGGATAATTTTAATAAGGCATTGTATCAGTATATCAGCTATCCAAATACTGTATCAACTGATAAGAATAGTAATGGCATTTCTACCGTGTTCACATATTGATGT